AAATAACATGAGATAATTATCTCATGTAAAATGAGAATAGTATTTTCCTAATAAAAAGGCATGGTACCACAAAAAACTTCTTGAGTAAATATCTTTTTTGGTCCTTAGCAAATTTCACGATGCCCGTTTTAATCCTTAGCAAATAAAAAGGCCCATCGTGGTCCTTAAAAAATTCAAAATGAACTCATTTTAGTCCTTTTGAGGACTAATATGGATCTTTTTTGAATTTGTAAAAGATCACGATTTCAACTAAATGGGTCCATTTTTAAATTCTTAAGGACCATGATGGATCTTTTTATTTGCTAGGGACTAAAACAGATATCGTAAAATTTGCTGGGGATCAAAAGTGTATTTACTCAAACTTCTTCGTATTATTTTTATGTCTTTTAATATTATTGTACAAGAATTAAAAAATTATTAAATAACATTAGACATCTCACCATCTCTGAGTCGACCCGAAGCGGTCCCAACATGTCGTGATTCGTTAGAACATCATAATTTGACAAATGGGACCCTCTGAGTAAATCATACAACCACATCCTAAACAGATCGGATGCATAGTCAATTACTAAAAAGTCCTCATAGTCAACGCTAATGATAAGCGGTTCCAAAATAAAATTCCAACTATTGTAAATAAATTATTTTTTTATAAAAAATCTTCCAATTCATTGTCTTTTTAACTTTTTCCTTTTTAAATTAAAACAATGAATAAATTTTTTTTTGCAGTTGAATCATGTTAAAAGCTTCATATAATATTTTACATCAAATTCAACAACTTGGTGATGAAAAAATGGTATCAAATTGAGAATTCAATCAAATTGTTAGCAAGTGGCTTAATAATAAACAGGACTAAATTGAATTCTAAGACAATTTTTTTGTAAATTATTACTATTTATTTTAAAAAGATTAATTCCATTAAAACTTTAACATATAAATGTTGTATAAATGAGTTATGAATAAAAAGTTAAAAGAGTCATGTCTTTTCATTTTGAACAATCACGTCTCTTCGCTTGTGAATAGTCATGTCTCTTCACTTGCGAAGAGTCATGCCTTTTTGCAAGCGGTCACGCCTATTTGTTTATGAATAGTCTTTTCATCTTGTAACCATTCATCTCTATAAATATCAGTGGCATGTAAACAATAATAACAAAATTTTCTAAATCCTTTTCAAAACTCTGCAAAAATTAATTCCCACATATTGTCTTTGTCTGCGATTGGTCAGCATTCATTGTATCCACCAGTACTGTTTCTTCTGATAGTGTCATTGTCAAAATAAAGATAACACGTTCTATCCTAAGAGACATTTGTCCACTAACCTTAGATACCGTAGAAGACGCAAAATTGCTTTAAGGATATAACTAATACTGAACTTTGGTTTAATTTCTTACAATTTTACTCTTGAATATTGCATTTTGATTTTCTGCAATTACAAGTGATTTTTGTATTTTTTCTGCGATACCACCAACACCAAACATAGATTTTTGCGCCACTGTCAATAACAATAAAAAGTAAAAAGATATATGAAAACAGTACACCACACATAATATTCGCGGAGCCATTTTATTCGGTCTTGATTCAACAGAAATCATTTTATTTATTATTAAAACACTATTTTGTTATTCACCAAAAAAAAAAGAACACTATTTTGTTATTTTAAGTTAAAAATAATTTCAAAATATAAACAAATGTATGTTGAAGTATAATATTAATACTATAAAAACAAATAATGCCAGGCATAGAAAATAAATATATACCGTTAAAATAGTTTTATAATACTGTACAAAGAAATTTTAACAAAATTCAAAGCACTTATGCACGTAAATATAGCTCTTAGAATCATCAGTTATTAGGCAGAAAAAATCAATTCGCACTGCAAAGAATGCAGGGGAGTTCGTTGTTGGGTATGCTGAAGGCCTTAATTGTCGAGTTCAAAGAAAGGTAAATTGAGGTTCCATTCGCAGGTGAGCAGACGGCGATTCGGGAGAGCCGTCTCGGCGGAGTCTGGGGCAGTGCCCTTAGGTCCGTAGAAATTAGGTATTGTTGTGGCTTTCTGATTTATTATAAATTTTTTTAGTAGTTTGGGTTTGGGCACATGAATAACTGTTGTTAGGATTTTTTTAATCTTTTATATTTTTCTTGTAAATCGAGTGACTTATAACGAGTGGTGGTGAGGTGAATATAGTACAGACAAGTTGGACGTAACTTATATTGGATGAACTGAGATAAATCATCGTGTCAATTTTTTTTTTTTTTTCTTTCTGTTTTCTCGATTTTGTGTGATTGTCAATTTTCAATATTCATGAATTGGTAATTAAAAGGAAGAAGCATGATGAACGAATTTATCTATTCATCAAAAGGAATAACTCAATCTTAATATTGAGTTTCTTTTTGGCTGTATCCGGATACTGAACTTAAATACGGTGAAGAACAAAGAACCAAGGAGACCATCCAGAGTGGCCATCAACCTAATAATATGGGACTTTAAGCATTTTCCTATATATTAAGAACCTTAATTGAGGGTGAGAGATTTTGATAGTTTGGATTAGCTAATATATTCCAACTTTAATGTCACCATTGTATACATACAAAAAAAAAACTGAAGGGAAGATACGACTAAACTCCATTAAGTATTTATGTAACTCAGGTATAAGACTTGGGCAGCTAGCTTCCAAGAATATTTTTATTGTCTTCTAACCCCCTCCCATTCGAGAACTTCATTAAACAATAATTCCATAAAAAAAATTTAAATTTAATATATAGCTCATTCTTTTATTCTTTCTCTAGTTATGAAATTAACAGCACATTCCAAGTATAAAAGACTGCATCTCCATGCATATATAAATTGACTTAAAAAATAATCTTAATGTTAGAAAAACAATTATATTCAAAGAGAGCTGTTTTTCTTCTTCTTCTTTTTTTATTTTTTCAAGTGAACAAAGAGAACTATTTCAACAATTGAAGCTAATTCAGGGAGTGAACTCATCTCAGGAAAAATATTAAATAAACGAATAAATAAATTAAAGAAAGAGCTTTCCACCAAATAAAATTAAATAAAATTAAAGAAAGAACTAAATTGGCTCCAAGCAACATTCAATGGTCAAGGGAGGAGAAGTCTCCAAATTCGTAAACAAAATCAGCTAAAGCGAGCCCGACTAATTTGAGTTAGACCTAATTCAGCCTCGATTGGATAAAAATAAATTTGTCTTGGGCTCGACTTGAGCTTATGTAAGATTTATTAATAAAATTCTGAAAATAATAAATAATTATATAATTTTATTTCTAATCAATATTAAATTATCAAATCATTAATTATATTCTTAACACGAAATTACAAATAATTTCTAACAATGACCTTGAACGTTTAGTATTAAAATTTAATCGCATCAATTAAGAGCAAAATAAAATTATAAAACACTTAATTATAATATTAAATAAAAATAAATCAAAATAATTAGTGTTTAGTCATCAACTTAACAAGACATAATAACAACAGAGTATAACAAAATTAGTTCAGTAATTTCAAATCTTCTTTAGTCGCCGTTTGGTACAAGATTTATTTTAGGTTTTCGAGAAATTGAAAGTGATAATCCTATTTACTCATATTTGGTACAAGATTTTTAAAATTTTTTCTGGAATTTTATTTTGTGTGTAATTTTTTTTTGAAAATATCATCCAAGAATACTATCGAGAAGGTGATATTTTAAGATTTCTATGACAAGAAAAAATTTAATACAACTAAATATAGCATTAAGAAAATTAATCCAACATTCTCGGGAATATTTTAGTCTACCAAACAATTTTTTTGGTAACATTTTCAAAAAAACTCATTTTCTCGTAATAATATTCCTGAAAATCATGAATTCAGGATAAAAAACAATTTTTCCTCTAGCCTTTAGTTGTTACCGGTTTGCTAACATTCAACATTATTTATTTATTTATTTATTTACGCACGGTCACTGTCACCCTTTCATAAACAACGCAAGAGAGAGGACGATTACCATATGCATCTACACACCCGTGGGACAAAAAATACGCCTTAGTTTATAGCCATATCAGAAATGAAAATTTTCACTGCAAAGTGCACACTCGTAAAGTGTTCCTGTTAGAAGCTTGTGATGCGATTTTGAGCTTTGCTGATATGTCCCATTAGGTTTTGAGCACGTAAATATATGGTTTTGGGGCAGAGTTGAATCTTGAGATAAAGAAAACGACAACCAATACGTGTCAATTACACATTTCTTAGTTAAAAAGATAGGTTAAAATGGAATGCATTGATGCTTTAGTGAATGTTCAGATAACTGAAGACCTTGTCCAAAATTTATTCCGGCATTCTACCCAACTCGGTTGAGACATAAAAACCAATATGTGTCAACTAGAAATAACTATGAGTTCCTAACCACAACAGTTACTAGGAGTCTAGCAGCACACACGGGTACATCGTACACAGATACGCTGTAGTGAGTGATGTTGGGTGTAATTCATACTTCGCGTGCTGATGAGGACCCTAGTTATCGGGGTCAGCAGAAAAACAATTGGGATCCAGCTTCCAGGTGAGCGGGCGGGGGTCCGGGGAGCCGTCCCGATAGGGAGTCTGTCTCAAGGCCCTTAAAGGCTAGGTATTGTTGTGGGCCTCTGCTTTATTGTAATTTTCTTAGCAGTTTGGGCTTGGGCATGCTGTTAGGGTTTTCTAATCTTATTTATATTTTTCTTGTAAACCGAGTTGTAACGAGTGGCGGTGAGATGAATATAGTACAGACAAGCTGGACATAGCCTATATTTGGTGAACCAGGATAGATCGCTGTGTCTATTCTCTCTCTTTTTCTTTTTTCGTTTTCGATTTATGTGATTGTCGATTTCCAAGAAGTGAATCTGGTTAGTGGTAACCATGATGCAAATAAAAAACAATACTAATCAATGCCACAAAAAGGTACTATATCTTAAACCAGGTAGCTTTATTTACGGAGAACAAGCTCCGCTTATAGTTTCTTTTTTGTGGTGGGGGTGGGGTAAATAAATAGCTTTACTTGTGCCAACAGCCAAAGAAACACTCAATATAAGCAAAACCAGAAACTTCATGTTCCATTTTTAGAAGCAGCATTGCAAATAACACACCAAAGAGTATTTCAAATGTGGAGAATGAAAAAATGAACAGTGTGGAAAACCCAAATCACAGAAAACCAAAACATTTCTTCTTGGAATCAACAAAGTCATTAAGACTGTTAATTTCGCCCTTTATCTTGCAAAGTTCCTGAGTTAGCTGATCCTGCCTCTTGAGAAGCTCAGTGAGTCGTGCCTGTGCATGGTCCACCCCAGTATCCCTGACCATAACACGTTGACGCATATCATCAACCCATGACCTCTCGATTCCAAGTTGGACGGCATCATTGCATAGTATAAGGAACTCCTCTTTTCGCTGAGAAGTAACACTAACTGCACTTTCATTTTGAAGGAACAACAGCATATCTGCCAAAGTTTTCAATATCCAAGCTTGAAACCTCTCACTTAACTTCTGACAAACATTCCGAAGATGAGGATGTACTGCAAATAACTCCGCCAGCAGAGCAATTTGTGGATCATCCAGATCAACAAGGTGCTTATATGCTCCCAATTCCCCAATGATCGATGAATGGCTATCTGCAGAATCTCCTAAAATTAAGTTGAATGAGTTAGCTACTATTGGGTGACATGTATACATATAAGATGGAAGATAGATAAGAAGAGTGTGCTAACCTGGAGGAGGAGCCTCAATGCTGTTGTCATCTTCTGGTGCATGGATATCTCTGCCAGTAGCACTGATGTCAGTTACAACCAATGTACTCATTCCATCACCTTCAGTACCAGCTGACAAAGTTGCTTTCATAGCTTCCTCTGGTGTAGACCCTGCTTGAACGATTTGTTTTACTGTGTCCCCAACACTCTGTACAACAACAAAAGGAAAAAATTATTTAAGTTTGTTATAGATTTGAGTGGACCACTCTTCCATATTGTAATGTACATAAGTTGGTAAAATAGTTATTTGAGAAACTTTTGGGGTTACTATTGTTTCTCCAAGCGCATGTTGTTTGTCTAGAAAACTTGGTTCACGATCCACCTTCTTCTATTTGAAATATTGAACAATCATGAAAGGAATTAGTCTTTACTATTACTGAGATTTATTACTCAAAAACCCAGAAAATTGCTAAACTTACATGCAAAGGCATTTTACATAGAGGAGCTGTTAATGATGTTGGAGATGGCCTTCTTAGTTCCGATCCAGATGCTGGTATTATTGATGTGACTGATGCCGGATCTTTCCCAATAATGGCTGTCTCTGTTTCATTAATACTCTGTACAATGCCAAAAGATATGTTTTAACTTTCATTGTATCTAATTTAATTCCTTCCCTTCTTCGTATTTAGTCTAATAATATCTAGTTTTTCAGAAAAGAAAAAGAAAAAGAAAAAAAGCTATACCTCAGTCAAGTTTGGCAAAGAAATGGGTGACAATTTCTGCTCCAACGATTGTAAGTGAGGTGTCCCTTTGAATTCTTTCTCTGATTCAGGGAACTCATATGATCCAGATGCAGTTGCACCGCTTTCAATTTGGTTGTGTTCATGTACCGTTCCAGCTAAGTTACTCAGTATAGACTGATTGGTCCCATTGATTTGCGAAGAAGGCTGCTCAATTACGGATGTTGCTGGATCTTCATGGTTCAATTGAAGTTGAGAAGTGGTTTCTGGCATAGAATCCCACTCCTGTGGAAAATAATAAATCAGAAAAAAGTTGGACTAACATGTTCAAAAGAACAATGTCATATGACAAACTTACATGTGCATGTGATTTCCGCTGACATGCGTCTAATGAGACTGACTGGGAGCTAGCTGATTCTGAATGAGTTGATGAAGTAACTATAATGGCATTATCTGATGTAGTTCCCTTTTCAACACCTCTCTTTATACTCTGCAGAAAAATAAAAGATATGTAACTTTGTAGTGTACTTCCATTCCTCTTATAAAAAATTAGCGCTATGCCATTTGAAAGGGAACAAGTAATTGTTCCGGTGATGGGTTTTTGTTTTTTCTGAATGAGAGGACAAATTCATGTTAGAGTTTCTCTGATTCAGAATCCTCTTGAATACTATTCATTTCCCATTAAATTCCTTAGCGGAAGGTACATAGTCAGGTGGTACGACATTATTTACCTGAGGAATTTCAGCAGTACTTTCAATTTCTCCAAATGGCTTTAGTTGGTTCTTCAAACAAGGTTCACTCATTGATTGTCCATCCACCAACTCCTACATGTAATAAGCTCAGGGTCATTAGTCTTAAGCTATTCATTTCCTCCAATACTGAGAAGAGCTTAAACTAAACTCACTTGCGAGTGTGGTTTATGTTGTTGAATATCCATGAGACTTGGAGATGGCCTGTCAATCAGTTCAAAATTTGTTGGTAAAGTTGCTGTAGCCGGTATCTCTGAAGCGGGAACTTCCCCAATAAATTTCTTAGTTGATTCTTCAATAACCTGAGCGAGTAACACCGAAACATACAGAAAGAGTAGCTCAGTAAGTTTAAATTTTTAAATAAATGTAATGAAGTTATAGATAACAAGGATTGTTTTTTATTAATGAATTTAGTTAAACTCAAAATAAATGAAGACAAGATGTGGGTTAGCCAGTAGCGATATATCTCAGTCAAGTTTAGGGAAGCAATGGATGAGTCATCCGATTTGATGCCATTGCTTTTTGCTTAGATTGATTGGTACTGACCTGTGAAGAAGGCAACTCATTTCCTGAGGCTAGTGGAGATTCAGGGACAACTGGAAAGTCTGTAATGGCTTCCTCAGTAGGATTTTCCACTCCAATATCTCCTGCTATAGAGGCTTCAGCTGATTCAATCATATCATAAACTATCCATTTCAAATCCCATCGGGCAACCATTTCTAATTCCAAGTCTTTACCTGAAAATATTTAAATTAAGGATTTCATCAGACCATGAAACTCAAGGTATAAAAATGCAATTTCAACTTTCGATAGTGGATCAATAGTATTGTCACAATTAAAGATAAAAAATGTTTTTTAGTTTCATAATAGTAACAATAGTTTATCATTCTTTTCTTTTTTTCATTATTTGGAAAAAAACCACGGTGACTCTATGTCTTAGAGGTCATAATCTTTATAGCAACAGCATATGCACGGCCATATGCGTGACAGGGGACTTATTCAAAATATGACTATATCCTATGAAAAATATACATGATTAGTTGAAAAGTTAGAAATTTCAACAACTGTATTTTTAGAAGAAAATTATATTTAGAACCTATTTTCGTTTACAATTTCTTACAACCATATCTTAACTGTTAGTTTCCGTTAATCAACGGTTAAGATTTTCGCAAATCAAATTTATTAATTAATTATTAATTCACAATAAATGACAACCATTGATTGGCGGAAATCAACGATTAACATATGATTGTAAGAGTTTATAAACTATTTGGATTATAAATATAACCCTTCCCGTATTTTTATACATTTAAAGCAAAATAACAAAAATAAAACATAACTTAGCTCATATTTTGTAATTTTTTGTAAAAATTTTATAAATCATGCGTGATAGAGAAACACATATGGCAGAAGACTAAGTTATGGGAATTTATATTTGATGATTCCATCATACCATATGTTTAACCATCAAGAAACACGTGTATTGTACTTTACCTCCGCCCCTGATTTTGTCCATGAGCTGCTGAAGAGTAGTAGTTGAAGTCAAAGAGAGTTCTGGATTACAATTTTGGACAAAACGATGCCTTACAGTTTGCAATTCAGACCCTTGGCAAAGGCTTGGCAGTTGTATAAATATTACAGGTTTCAGTTTTGGAAGCACAACTTTCATCCTTCCTTTCTCGCCACCTTGTGCGTGCTCACATCTGAATAGTTCTTCTAGTTCAGAGGCTTCGTTTATGATGAGAACCTTTAGGTTTGGAAGATCATTAGATACGGAGACTGGGATTAAATGTTTCAACTTGTGGCATTGTTGGACGACAAGCATTTCTAACTTTGGGAAGCATGCCTGTGGCTGTGGCTGTGGAGAATGAAGATTTGACAATTTGTGATTCTCTGCATCCTCTTCAATGATCTCCTTTAATTCCTCGCATCGGTGTATCTCTAGACGCTTCAACTCTGGTAAGTATCTTATCACGGAAGCTGGAAAGATTACTTCCGATTTTGCACATCTCTTTATTACCACTCTTGTAAGATTTTCAAAGGTAAGAGAAATTTTGGATGCCGCACAAACATACGTCATCTGAGGTAGATCGTTCAAATACAGGAATTGTAACCCAAAGCTCACTGGTTTTCCAATGATCTCAAGTCCATTGAGATTAAAAATACCTTCTAATTTGGAGTCCCGTAGTTTTAGAGTTTCCAAAGTGAGGAAATGCTTCTCAATATCTCGTATGTCCTGTGAAACATAAATAAAATTTGTACAAAAGGAATCGGTACACCGGAGAAAGACCTTCATTTTTTACGAAAATGGATCTATTTAAATCATGTGCGTGAGCGATTCCATAAATATACTCCCGAAAAATAAGTGGGTATAGGAAAGACAAGAAAGATATTTGTAGATGAAGAAAATTAAATTTTAAATGCTGTGGGTAGGAGTGTTAATGGGCCGAGCCGAGCTTTGTTTAAATGTGTCAGACCTGACCTACCTAGTCTGTTACCTGTTATGAATATAATTATTGGTTATTGGCATGTAGCCTGTTTTATTTACAAAAAAATAAAACCTTGTTTAGCTTGTTAGCCTGTTTTAAAAAAATAAGACAACAAAAATTTATTCAAACAGAATATACAATCAACAGCACTAGTAATTCCATAAATATTCATAAATTCAATGTATATCCAAACAGCATAATATAGAACAAAATTATTCAAAAAATCTATTTAACCAATAAAATGGGATGAAATGGATTGAGGAGAGAGAGGAGGCTATCACAAGTAGTATAAAAAATATTAAATAAAACTAAAAATTAATATATTAGGTCAGCCTGAGAGGCTCCAAGGCCGAGCTTTTGAATTGGAGCCTGAGACTTTTTTATTAAATGGGCTTTTATACAAATCCAAGTCTGGTTCTAATAACCAATTTCAGATATGTAAGTTCAGGCCTTCACGAGTCAAGCCAAAGGCCCTTATAAGGCCCCTGGTTTGTTTACAACCCCTAGCTGTGGGTAATAGTAATTCCAAATTTTACATTTTAATAGATTGTTGCATTATTAAAAAATTTGGCATTTTAAGTTGCTATTATTTTGGACTCTTAAGTCATAACTTTTTTAATAATGTGATAGGATTAGGGGTGGCAATTTGGATTGACCCGTCACGACCCGCCAAAAACGGGACGAGACGGGTTGGCCCGCCATTGAATATGGGTTGAAAAATTGAACCCACCTCGTTTTATGGTGGGTTGACCCGTCAACCCACCAATTAAAAAAAATTAATTAAAATTTAAAATAAAATTATATTTTATGAACTTTTCTAATATTATTTTATCTTATTTCACACTTCTCTTAATTTTTTTTAGTCTTAATCTGAAATGTATACTAATATTTGTCAAACATTCTTTAGGAACTCATTTGTCTCCATGTATAGATAACATTTTTCGTAAATAAAATTTTTATTCTTTATCTTTTATAGGAAGTATTAAGATAAAAAAAAAATTAGATATCACGAAAATTTATTGACAAATGAAATACTTCCTAATTATAAAAAAATAAAAAAAAATATAACCTGACGGGTTGAACCCATTTTGACCCACTTCAAGGCGAGGCGAGTTGAAGTGGGTTGAAAACCTCAACCCAACTACCCCATTTTGGGAGGTTGAACCGCCGAACTCAACCCATATTGCTACATGGACATAGGATAGTGTAAACAGTGGCGGTGCCACATTATTCTTAGATGATGTACAAGCATCTGGTTGTATTTAAATGTTCCCTTCATAATTTAAAACCGAACCCACTTGATTTAATTTTGACATTAACATTTAAGAGTTTAATTTATATATATTTTTAATGTAAGAAAAATTTATATTAATTTTTACTAATATGTTGACGTATCGTTATATATTACTGTCTTATTCTTTTATTAATTAGAATGAGAGTAATTCATAAAAATATATTAAATTATTAATAAAGTAATGTAACACTTCTCGATACACGCATACCAATTAAATTTTTTTTTGATACCAATTAAATTTCAGTATGAACCTTCGGTAATTTAGCCTTAACTGAATAATAAAATTAATTTTCGACACATATTAACTAAAATAAATGAAAAGGGGTCGTACCTTTGCGCTAGTGTTATTCGGTTTCTCCCCCAACAGCCCAGCTTTGACCGGTGTCGTGTCAAACTCTGGACAAGAATACAGAGTAAAGTCACGAAGAGATGGCCACGATGGATCATAATTTTCTGGGAAGATGCTAATTATATTTCGCAACTCAGAAAGGTCAAGCTGTCTTACTGCAGGAAATTCGATCTTGAGTTTATTTTGATTTTGATCAATCAACTGATTTTCATGTATATTTTGACCAAATATGTATTTCAACTCGCGACAATCATGAATTGACAAACTCTCAAGTTGTCGAAGATTCTGAGCATAAATGACTGGGATTACATATTCGAGCTGGTTGCAACTCTCGACTTCGAGCTGGTTCAAGGCAAAAAGCTCGATCCTGAGTTCATTTTGACTCTCAATGGCTAACTGATGATCTCCATCTGTGCATTGTTTGAATATGTACTTTAACTTACCACAATCCTGAATGTTCAAACTCTCTAGTTGTTGAAGGCTTCGAGGAGAAATGAATGGAAAAATATATTCCAGCTGGTAACAATCCCAGACTTCGAGGTGTTTCAGTGAAGAAAGGTCGATCTTGAAACAATTTTTACTCTGATCAGCTAGATGATCTCCATGTGTGCACTGGTCGAATATGTATTTCAACTTCTCACAACGATGAATTTCCAAACTCTGTAATTGAACAAGGCTCTCAGCAGAAGTGACGGGGATTATATATTTTAAATTGGCGCAACTTCTAACTTCGAGGTTTTTCAAGGCACGAAACTCAATTTTAAGTTCATTTTGATTTTGATCGACCAGCTGATCTTCATGCATATATTCACCGAACATCCATTTCAACTCACCACACGCCTCAATTAGCAAATCCTCCAATTGGACAAGATTCTGAGCAAAAGTGATTGGAATTACATATTCTAATTGCTCGCACTGCTCGATTTTGAGCCATTTTAATTTGGAGAACATCAAGTTGTGGTCATCTGATCTAATCTCGCTTTTGTCATCATCTGCCAGTACATGCTTCAGTCCATCACATTCTAATACTTCTAATTTCTCCAATTGTACCAGAATTCGAGCAATCATAGGTGTGAAAAGAGATGTCAGCTGTGGACAACCACATAAATATAGCTGCCCTAATTTCTGGAAAGAGTCACTGGAAGGCAAACGACCGCACCATAAAGCTCTGAAATGCTCCATCCTCTCAATTCTCAGGGTAACCAACTTGGAGAAGAGATTTACTAACTCACTCGAATGATTTCTATTGTCAACCAAACACTCTATCTCCTTAGAATTTCTGATCCCAAGCTCACTGATATCTTCTCCTCCTTTAAATACATCAGGTACAATATTTCTCTGGCCTCCCTCAATCTTTGCTAAATACAGAACTTCTGCTTTTTTTGCCAAACCTTTAATTGCCTCGTTTGGTTTTTGATAGCAACCAAGCAATAAAGTTCTGCGATGAGTGAAAAAATATCTCATATCATATTTTTTATGCAGGGCTCCTAATTTTATTGCATAACTTTGCAGTGTTTGGGGGACACTAAACTTGTTAAAGAATTCAACAGTGTTTTCATTGTAAACATCCCATTTAGACCTCTCATCAACGATGTACAATTCTTCCAGCCGTGGGAGTCTTCCAATCACTTCAAAATTATTCATTTTCATATCACATTTATATAACTCTAACAATCTCAACTTTGTCAATAGTTGTATAACTGCATCAACATTTGAAAATTCAAGGATTGAACAACTCGTCAACTTAAGATTTTCAAGTGTCTTTATATCTTCTTCAAATAAGATGTCACTCAATTCCCAACCATGAAGGAGTAGATAACGAAGATTGATCAACGATTTGAACAACATCGCTGGCAATGGCCGTCTCGCCTGTTCATTGACAAGAATCAGAACTCTGAGCTTTCCCATTCCTTTGAAAATCTCATCACTTACTTCCAATTTTGTGCCTATGCGTAGGAACTCGAGATTGGAACAATCCAATTGATCTGGGACTTCATTACACCATAGATATCTTAATGAGTTGGAATGCACATTCACATTCACTCCCAAAGCACACTTGATCACTTTTTTATCATTCTCTGCGATCCAGTGGGCTACATCACGAACTAAGTCGTGCATTTTGACACATTCTCCTACTTTAGCATCTACATCTAACAACAAACAAGAACTATTGAGCTTATTTTTTGCAACACTCACTTCGTTCCTTGCCACTTCATACGAGTGAACTTCTCCAACTAAGCCTAGCCCTATTGCACATCTGGTTAAAAATTCAAGTGGAATTTCGTAATCTTCGGGGAACACAGAACACAACAAGAAGAGTGACTTGGCTTCCTTGATGTTTAAATTATCATAGCTTAGTTGGAGGCACTTGTAAGGATTCTGCAAACCTTCTTCAATATTTACTGCTATTGAATTTTTCAATCTATGCAAAGCAACATTCCAGTTCGTTTCATCCTTGCCTTTCAAAGTGGCAGCCAAAGCAGCAATAGCAACAGGCAGTCCTAGACATTCTTCTGAAATTAATCTTGCCAAATCCTTTATGGTATCAGATGTGGCTTCACATATGCATGCTTCCTTTTGAAAAAGAGTCCACGCTTCTTCATTGGTTAAGATTGATAGTGGAATCTTTGGTTTACAATCCATCAAATTACAAACGTCTACAGATCGTGTGGTAATGAGAACCTTGCAACCTAAGTGATCTTTACCTGAGGGAATCCCTATGACTCCAAAATCAAGCCTTTCCCAAACATCATCCAGAATTAGAAGAGTCCTCTTTTCTTGAGTTAATCTCGTGTGCAAGCGTCGAGCTTTCTCCCTTTCTTCACTTTCTGGAAATGGGAACGACAATGAGCTTGCAATTTTATCTTGGATCCTTCCCACATCTACAGTGCTAGACACAGGCACAAAAAGCACTTTGTCAAAAAGATGCTCTGACTCTGCTTTCTTGCAAACTTGCATCGCCAATGTGGTTTTCCCACAACCCCCCATCCCATATAATCCAATCAAGGTAACCTTATCATCTTTCACTGCCTCCATAAGTTGCGTATAAGCAGATTGCCTACTATCAAACTCCAAACATTTTTCTGAAGGAAAATGTTGCGTTGCCGACGGAAGTGTAGCAACGCGTTCAAGTTGTATATACTTACTACCTTCTTCAATACATTTTTCAATGTCCACTTTTTTCTGTGCTAACTTCTTGCCCCGATTGTATCGCCAAAACCAATTAGGACAACGCCCAAAACACCACTTCTTGTTTGTCCGTGCTTCTATAAGTAACTCCTCCCCATTGTTTATTTCTGTCTTAGCTTCCTTCAACCACTCATCCAAAACTTCAGCACTCTTCATTGCTTGTTTCGTGACATGTTTAGCACGGTCTTCTACGCTATTTCTTGTGCTGATCAAGTTGTCTTCCTTCTTTCGAAGGTCTTCAACAAAATTGTTGAAGCAGCAAGGATACCTTATTTCATTTACTGCTCTCCGCAGCAAATCTTTTCCAAAGTCAGACACGGAGGAGGTAAAACACTCCATCAATTTCCTCCACCAAATGCAATTTAATTGACCTGAACAAAACAGTAGTGATGAACATGCAATATTTCGATTCTATATATATATATATATATATATATTGAGTTGAAAGATATAGCAAAGTGTTGAGATGTCAAAATAGGCTCCAATTCTGTTGTTGAAAAGTTTAGTGATGTGCTAATGGGAGAAACACTATTTTGTTTTGCTTATGGACATATACCATGATTCGGCTTCTTCTTATCCTTATTGCTACAATGACTCAGCGTTTATCATTTGCAAAGCTCTATGTAACATTTTTTGAAATTAAAATAAAATTTTTGTTTAATGCTAATAATACGAGCGTAACATATACTATTGAAAGTTGCTTTTCTAAATAAGCATCAATAGATTTTTTTGTCTTCATACGACACACGTAAAATTATGCACATTCAAGCAACCTCCATGTAAGATTTCTTGAAAATAATTATCCTGAATAAACCCCAATAACAAGCATGTCAGTGTCACCTTCACCTAATAGAATTTGAGTAACTTATCAAAATTGTCATATTTTTTCTGTAATCCTTTGAAAGTATTCTTTGCCATGTGTATAAGGGTATAATAATGATTAAGCTTTTTCAGCACCAGCAAAAAGCTTTTAAAGGTTTAATATACATCAATGGGATTAGGGTTGCTTTAACGTGATATATTTTTTAAAATATCTAAATAAGGACATATTTAGCTTTGTTTAATTTAAAATATATTTTCAGCTTAACTCATTATAATTTAAAAGTAATATTACCTTCCTAGCTCATGAACTTCGACAAACAGAACAAGTTATTTTGTGTTAAATTTACCTTATTTTCGGCAATACAAACACGAGCTTGAGGCTTTCATCCTTGGTGTATGGTGTTCCCCTTGCTTCAATCTCCAGCATCAATAGCAGAATAAGGTACTCCCATACCGACAAATTGGTGAGTGGTGACCATTTTTCTAAAAAAGCGATAAGTCAGTGAGTGGTTGGTGACCATTTTTCTAAAAAAGCAAGTCTTGGTCTTCTTTAGTTATTTATTAGTATTATTTTGTTGCATTATCTGTAGAACTGCGAGTCAGCAACGTTGACCATTTGCCAATGGCATGGTCTAATATGTAATGTAAGTGTAACCATAAAAATTCTCTCCACCTGAGCATACGCTTGAAATATGCACTCAGGCCCAATATAAATTGTTTTGCACTTTGTATTTTGGAACATCCCCCCTACAAGTTTTGATAACCAAAAATATAAAGGCCCGATACCAAAACCTTCGGTTCTTTGTTTTTATCCCCAAGTACCATATAAACAACCTCCAAGCCATGCCATGATTTGTGTGAAATGAAAAGACCAAATGCAATCGCCAAAAAACTTCTGGACTAATAGTCATTACGCACAAAGGATTTCATCTAGTTTTTCAATGTGCATTTTTTTTTCTTTGCAATCTTCTTGCCCAGACAGTATCGCCAAATCCAATTTGGACAGTGCCCAAAACAATAGCTCTTGTTTTGTCCTTGCTTTTTCAAATAGCTGCTCCCCATTGTTTATTTCTGTGTTAGCTTCCTCCAACAATTTATGAACTAATCCAGCAGTCTTTTTGCTTTATTTCTTGACTTAATCAAAGCGTTCTTGGACGCTATTTCTCTTTTCAACAAATGTGTCCTCCTTCTTCTGAAGGTCTTCAACAAAATTATTGAAGCAGCAAGGATAATGTAATTGATCTACTGCTCCTCCCACCAAATAAATATCTTGCAATTGCAGAAGCAAAGCAGGAAAGCCACTCCGTCAATTTCCTCCACCGAAGGCAACTTAATTCACCTGAACTGTAGAGATGAACATACAATAATGAATTAGAAAAATTCAACAAGTACATCATTTTTGATTCTGTATATATTGGATTTAAAGATATGGCAAAGTGTTGAGGATGTGAATATTGACTCCAATTCTATTTGGTGAAGGGTTGGTTACCGATGTGCTAATGGAAGAAATAATCTCAGAATTTGTTCATTTTCTTGCAATTCACACACTAGCCAGCTTGCAATTCTTTTTTGGATCCTTTGCACTTGTACAGTACTAGAGACAACCACAATGACCATTTCGTCAAAAAGTTCCCCTTCCTTTGCTCTCTTCCCAACTTCAATTTTTAAAGTGGTTTTACTTTTACCACAACCCCCATACCATACAATCCAATCATGTTAACCTCTTCAGCTTTCAGCATATTGTCTACTCTCAAACTTAAAACATCTTCCCCAAGAAAAATATCCTAAGCCTGGAAGTGAAGCAAGGTGTTCAGTTTTGGGTATAGTTACTCTCTGCTAACTTCTTCCCCAGACGGTATCACCTCACGCGCTCCAGCCCAGCATCATCCTTTTTTTTTATCTAATTGTTCATGACTACAATCCACACTATGTATCTAACTGGCTCCAACTAAATCATCCATGTATCCAAATCACAAGCCCCTCGTATCCAATTGCCTAAACCTTGTACTATATAATAAATGCAGGTTGTCTATAACAGTCTGAATCATTCCGCTGCTCCAGGATTTTACGTCATACTCATAAGTCATAATTCTAGCATGAACTACAATTATTTTGTGTAATGATTTTATAATTTTTATCATGCAATATCTAAACCACCCTAAGCAAGAACGAGGATAAACCCCTCAATATCAGAATGCAATTTAAGAAATCTAGCCGTTGGTTGATTACTGGTTCAGTGAGCTCCAGGACCACATAAAAGCATACAGAATAGACATATTCAACAAAATAAAATCACTGACAGAAAGAACCGCAAACACTCTGCAAGTCCAACACTAATATCCTGCTCTCTGAAAGAACGCTCCGGAAATAGGTTTTCATTTGTGAATGAATGAGATAATTTCATGTAACATGAAAGTAATATTCTTCATTAATTACTTCTTGCATGATCAAATTTTATTGAATTTGCATAGTCAGAGTAGCAATGGAAATAGAGACCATGGACGTCTGGACCATTGGATTCACCAACGGTTCTGAAAAGGAGGATCAGTCACATCAAAAAAACAATTTTCTGCATAGATTTGCATACAATCCAATAGCTCTCTTCATTTTTTTTTTTTGTCTCTATTAAAGTTGTTGAATTTAAAATTGGTTTCAGCCTTTAATTGAATCGATTCTTTCCCAGTAAAAACTGGTCAGAAATACAGTTACAAGAAGGCAGGCCCAATGCCAATCTGTCCTGAACTCTTGCAATGAGTTACCCCTCCTATGGCAAGAAGAAACTTTACTGAACAGGCAATCACTAGATCTTAAAGTCTAAACAACTGTTACAAGATAAAATTTCACCCTCTAAAACATCCGTGGTTAATGTCTCGTTGGTCTCTAACCAAGTTGACATAGTGTACTGTTAAATCTAAAATGTTGTGGGAAGAATGCTAAAAAGCAACCCAAATAATTGTTTCACCAATGCATGACCTACAAAGCGTTTGCTTCTGCAGCAGCATGAAGAAGCTCATCAGGAGTTGCAGCAGGGTCAAGGTCCCAACATCGTTCAGGCAAATTGCTTGCCTCCCCCTTCAGCAACCAAGAAGGAACTTGGTGTGAAAAACGTAACATTTCTCTTCTTGGTATCCATTTTATGGCACTTTTGTCTGTATTCCTCTTATATACTGTTTTAAATCCAGCCAATTTAATAAGGGGAGTAACACAAACACCAAGTTCCTCGGAGTAATCATCCAGCACCTCCACCATTTCATATTGATGCCTCACTTCGTCTGGAGTAGATCTGTTCCACTCCGGTGACCAATTTCGATAAACAGCCCAAATATCTCCACTTCTGGGATATATGCGAACACAACCGCCTCGACCAGCCTTCTCCTGGCTTAGAACATGAGAAAATATGTTAACTTGGTCAACAACATCAGAATTCCAAGCCCGGAAATTTCCGCAAGATTTGGTAAAACCAGAATCAAGCCAGTTTACTGAGCCAAACTCACTATCAGTTTTGGAACTCAAGTAACTTATATGAATCTTAAATGGATTAACAGATACAACCTCACGGATCAGACAATACAATCGTGGCATGCCATCTTCCTCATCATAGAGGGCCCATATCTGCTTCGGCCTGAAGCATTCCTCTGACCTATCTTTATCAAAGTCATGAAAGTCAGGATCTGGAACAGTTATTGAGATTGGACTAGTTTTCCCGTGCTCTAATTGAAGACCAGAAACATTCAGAACTGCTCTTCTACATGTCTCTCTTTTAACTTGACCAACTTCAGCTTGTGATTTTTCTCTCTTATTCACAGTTGCAACTACTGCAGCTGCAGATGAAAACTTCATCTCTTCCAGTTTCTTCCTAATTTCTGTCCTGGCTTTCTCAATCAATAATTTTCTCGCATCAAATGCTGGTGCCGTGGAGCACTGCTTGGTTTGTACTTCACTTGTGCCGGAAAGCTTTTGGTCAAGTCCAATGATATCATTTCCATTGGCCACTACTGATTCTGAAGCACATTTTGACCCCTTTTCTTCATAGCCATTTCTGAAACTGGCTCCCACAACAACTTTACGTTTCTTGTCAGGTCTACTTGGCTTAACTTCCTGTGGTTCATTACAGGACAATGATACATCTGAATTTATATTGACCACAGTCCTATCAGCTCCTGATTTAACTTTTGGTCTTCCCCTCTTCACATTTCCATTGGCCTGACAAACAGAATCAGCAGGTAAGGTAGTTGATCCATTTTGATTGACGAGCCCAGCAGAGCCCCACTGAAATGAGACATTTGAAGCATACTCATATCCATGTCCAGAATGGTATCCTGAGACCCCATTCCCATTGAAATAGGTGGCACTAGTTGGAACATATGTAACTCCATCAAATGAATGACTTCCATACCCATTTCCTGGCACATATGACCCAGGACAATATGGAAATGAACCATTTGCCGGGGCTGCCCCAGTTTCAACAGCGATGAAAGTACCACGGCAGTTCTTACAAGAGAGTCTTTTATTCACATACTTGCGCATATACTCATACTGAACCTTACAAGAGGTGCAAATTGTCCAAAAGGTGTCAAGCCTACCACGAGAGGTTGACAAATTGGAACATTTGTCATAACCTGTAGCCCCTGTGACATGGACAGATGACAAATTCATCTGATTAATCCCACCCAACTGTGCATTTCTCTTGAGATCGTAAGACCTACGCATAGCACTATCTGATAGCCAAGTCCATGCCTCGGAAACAAGCTTAAATGCCCCATCAGCTCCCACACATTTGTTCTTATCTGGATGAAGCAACACTGCCATCTTCTTGTACTGTTTCTTGACAGCCTCTTTATCTGCAGAAGGTTTTAATCCAAGAATCGAATAATAATCTAGTTCACCATTATGTTTGACCTCAGAAGCGATGTATACTTCGAAAGTGGCCACCATTTGAGATATACCCTCCAATCCCGGACAAAGCATTTTAGCCTTTACAGCATAGTTTTTTGCACTTAAGAAGTCTCTCTGAGCAAATCGCTTCTCAGCAATCTCTATTGCTTTAAGTGCTTCCTCGTTGTTTGCTTCCATGTAGGAACCAAAACACTTCACAACTGAACTCTTGAAACAAAAGCTATGACCAGCCCAACATCGTTTCCAATATTATATATAACCTCGTTTCCATGCCTGCTGACAGTTTTGAAATGAAAGAAAAAGTAAAAGTTAATATTGGTTTTAAAGCTGAAAAAACTCTCATCTGAGATCCAAGAACACAAACGCCAAGACTAACTAGAATTCATACTCTACAGTTGCTGAGAAACCAAGTGCAGCCCAAACACCCAAACTGTGGAGACAGATCATGGCATTCAGTTTATTAAAACACAATTTTCCATCTTCAACATAAAATTCATAAAACATTTAACTTTACTTTCTCTTCTTTTTCCTGAATCTTGTAATAAGCCAAACACTTCCAATTTCAAAATCAATAAACCAACTATCTCTTGAAACCACTCGAAAGCATGACCCAACTTTCAATCAGCACCCAATTCAGCTAAATTTCATAAAATCTAAAACATCTGCACAGAGATCGAAAATTTATAACCAAAAGCCCCAAGATTTATACTCATAAAAGAAATAAAAAAAGCCCCACAGATGCAATAAAAATAAGCACAACAATTAAGGAAGGAAAAAAAAAAACTTACTGAAAGGCAGACCCAGATCGACACGTGTACTTGGGAGCTGGAGCAAAATTTAGTTGAACTAACTCTGAATCTCACTGCACTAAAAACAGGGAAACACAGAACCCGATTTGTTCGGACAGAGTGGTGTTCGGTAAATGGTAAAGGTCAAGGCTTTCTTACTGGGAAAGTGGGATTTGAATGGCTCCCGGATCCGGGTTGAGAAGAATCCGAAGTGGGTCCGATCCGGGCCACGGTGGCGGCGATGAATAGGAGCTTCCGACAATCGCCGATCAGAAAGAGAAGGTAGGAAATAAAATAGGAATTATTATAAATAAAATGATTATTTTCAAGGCAAGTAAACGCTGTTATTACAGAGATGGTTGGAACAAGCTAACGTGCACCGTTGGTGCGTAATGGCTTCATAGGAAATTCCCCTTTTTCTCTCTCTATTTTTTTTTTATTTTTATTTCCCCTTGTTTTATATTTTATTCTTTATTGCTGCATAAATTTTTTATTTTTATTTTTTTGCGGCAGTTAGAAGTTATAATAAGTCTTATGCAGTTGCCTAGTTGGTGCGAAGTTAAATAATGGTTTGGGGAATTAACAGTGATAGCCACCCTGTTAAATCTCCACAATTGTCATTGAATTTCTGCCATACAATATTTGTTTCCTTTTGTTAGAATAAAAAAGAATGAAACTACCTTCTATTTTTAACCGATTATTTATTAAATGTTTCCTCTTCAAGAACCAAAGTCCATGTTATTACTATTTGAATTTGAATTCAAAATTTTAAGCGATTTTGAGCAGTTGAACTTCCAGGGTTTTTGGTTGAGTTCTACTTATGACTTAAAGTTCTGACATTGATTTGAAGTTGTCACTGTCGAATAATTTGGACTTAACTCGCAAAGCTGTGTGGGTGGATAAAGGTCCCGCCAACCATAACCAAATCTAAAACATTTATTTGGGCTAACGCGAAAGGCCCAATGACGTTTTTCTTTGAAAAGAAGCTACGACTAAAATGAATGTAACGATTGAGATTTTAGTTGAGTACTTGAATCCAACGGACAACAGTTGAAACTCGACAATTCTTGTTATGCCAAAATTTGAAGTGGTTGGGTTGGGATAATGGATAGGATTCATATTTATATATTTTGAGTCAATGGTCTCATTCACATGTTTGTCTGTCCATTGAGTTGATTTTGTTTGCTCTGTCTTAATCAATAAGAAGGGCATTGTTTTCTTTTTTCTTATTTTTATACTTGAATACTCTTGAGTATAAAAAATATATCTTATATGGAGGTGAATTGCCCAGCGAAGAAGGTGGAAGTTTTCGATTTCGACATTTGAAATTTTTATGGCCTTACCTCCTCAGCAAAATACACCATTCAGAAAAAATAAAAAATAAAAAATTCCATACATATTGATTTTCCTCCTTCTAGTTTGTAGGATTATCTTGCTCTTTGACCTGATTAGTGTTTTGTGAGTCAATAACACTAGTTTGAGTACATGGGAAACATATTTTCATGGGATAGAATTCATTTACAAATTTTTTTTTGCAAATCACACTAAGTACGACCGGTCACACACTGCATAATTAAAATATATCGTACTTAGTGTAGTATGTAAGAATTTATAAACAAAAAAGTTTCTAAATATAACATGCTCTTATTTTCATACGAGAATGGTCAATGTTGCGATCTCCTCCCATTTTCACTTTTTATTTTTTGTCCGTCGCAATCATGTGTGCTGTGTGGGAAGAGGGTCCCCGCACCCTAAAAAAAAGTCATATCCACCAATTTCTATTCCCTTCTTATATCCGCCAATTAATTCTTCTACCACTCAAAACAACAAAATTTAAAGTTCTATATTTGTGCTTGAGAAATATTTTTTATCTTTCTATATAAGGGAAAAAATATTTGTCCTTTTAAATGACGTCATTTATGTCATTTTACTCTTGCAAAGAGGTGAAATCTATACCTTTATATTTTTTTGTCAACTCTCTCTCAATATATTTGGTGTCATTTTAATCATTATGTCATTTTAATCTTTTAAATGACATAATGATTAAATAATAAGTTTGATTCCCAATAAATGATAACCATTGATTTGCGAAAATCAACGATTAATATTTGGGGTCAAATTTTAAAGTTTGACTACGGTGTCAAAGGATCCTGCCCTGTATATATATATATATATATATATATATATATATATATATATATATATATATATATATATATATATAAAGAAAAATATTTCTTTATATCCGTCTACGCCAAAACTATTTCGTTTTGTTTATATGTATATAGGGCTTATCGTTTCTCAAGTTACTTGATATAACTTTATCTCCGGTTAGTAAACTAAACCGTACAAAGATAGATCAATGGTGATAAAGGAAGAGAGAGAAAATGAGAATTATAACAATTCAAAGGTGAATCAATTAATATAAGAAAATAAATAAACAAAACGACGTAGTTTTAGATTAAATGGAGATAAATATATCTCAAGTAAATTGAAAAATATTTTTCTCATATATATAGGGTAAATGATTTTCCTAGTCAATGGAGATAAGTTATCTCCAATGAGCCCAAAACGAAGTCGTTTTGGGGCGGAAATCAATGTATTTTTGTAATTATAATATATTGCAGGGTTATATTAGTCTTTATCATTATAATTTTTTTAATCTTATAATCCTAAACGACGTCATTTTCAGCTCACTGGAGATAACTTTATCTCCGATGACTGGAGAAATAGTTTTCCAATATATATATATATATATATTATGTCGTATGAGATAAAATTATCCCCTACACACATATAAAAATGTGTAGATTTCATACTTTTTCTTTTTCTTTCTTCTCTTCACATAAAACTGCACAGGCTTTATACATTTTTATATATGTGTAGGGGATAAAATAAAATTATAAACAGGAGATAAATTTATCTCCTTCAACATGAGAAATATTAAACTCATATATATATGGGAAAAGTGTGTTTCATTTAAAAGGATGTAAAGTTTTGTCATTTTAAGTGAGAGAAATATATATATATATATAAAGGGTGAGAGAGAGTGAACAAAAAAAATTCAAGGTATGGGTCCCACCTCTCTGTGAGAGTGAAATAATATAAGTTATGTCATTTAAAAGGACAAACATTTTTCCCTATATATATATATATATATATATATATATATATATATATATATATATATATATATATATATATATATATATATATATATATATATATATATATATATACAAGGAAAAATGTTTGTCATTTTAAATAATACAACTTATGTCATTTCACTCTCACAAAGAGGTGAGACCCACTTTTTTGTTTTTGTCCACTCTCTGTCCCCTGTGATCTATCTCTTTCTCTCTCTTAAAATAACACGACTTTGCATCATTTAAAATAACATACATTTTTCCCATATATATAACCCAATAAAAATGTATTAAATATGCACCTACTCACTTAAGTGATCCGGAAACAAGAGGCAACTAATAGGATATACTATATGTGTGTGTAATATTCTCCAAAATATATATATATACATATATATATATATATATATATATGGGTAATATATTTGTTATGTAACTGGAAAACAAAAAAATTTGCAGCACATACAACAATTGAGGTGGGGCCCGTTAATTTTTGTTTCTCTCTCTTCATAATTGTTCATCTCTCTTAATTGTTGTTTGTGCAGGAAAACTATTTGTTTTCCTGTTACATAACAAATGTATTACCCTATATATATATATATATATATATATATATATATATATATATATATATATATTTACATTTCTGCAGCTGCTGTACGTGCAACAATTAAATATTTGCCATAAATACTCGAAAGCATTAAATGTGGGAAATCGTAACCATACAAATGATGAAAACATTAAATGAGAGGAATCATAACTATACATCTGTCGTTGTTGTACGTAAAACGACTGCAGAAATAATTTTACCATATATGTGTAAACATACAAGTTGCTGCTCATGTGAATTAATTCCTCCACATTCAAAAAATATTAATTTTTAGACGGTTAATTTTTAGTAATTAATTAGTAAAAATTATTGAATAATGAATGATTGATGAAATATATTTAGTTGTTAGTATTTTTAATCATTATTTACTAGTAATAATTAAATATTAATTAATAATCACAGTAGTTTGTAAATTATAATTACTCACTTTAAAGTTAATTATATAATATTTAGGTTATTAGTATTATATTTTGTAATTTTTTATTAGTAATTTATAAGTTATGAATAAATTTAGATTAATAATCGATCGGTGTTTAGACTGCATGAGCAACATATTATTGACCGCAAGATCAGGATAAAGACATCTCTCCGGAGGAACATCGGATGTCATAACTAATAAATATATCTAACAAAAACTAATAAAATTAACATAATATAACAATTAATTTTTTTCATAATTTATAAATTTTATTTATGAAAAAGTTCATTTAGGATGAGCAGCAGCTTCAGATTACTTATGCGGCCATGTGAATATTTGATATCTTCTTATTAAATTGAGGGTTATTATATGAAAAAAATGGGAATTGGATGAACACCACTATATTTTTTTTAATATTCATTTTTAGAATGTTGCGACCCCTTTCTCGCAGCAATCACCTGAATGCATCATATGACACATCCCAATCCTAGGAGTGTTCCAGTGAAGGGTCATGACACCTTTAAAATAAAATAAAAAGGTAAAAAGTGAATATGCGAGGATATCATAACAGTGGCCACCCTCAAATAAATATGTTTTTCATCCATCCAAATTAAAAACACTAGTTGGGTCAATCTATTGGCACAAGTTATATTAGATAACACTGATATTTAATAAAAAAAATATTATATTAGAAAAAACCAGATGGATTGCATTTTGGTAAATGTATTGGCACAGGATAAAATGCAACATATAAGTTTTATTTTTATTTGGTATATTTTAAAAAGAGAATATAATAGTTAAATAATAATGCAATTTTCTTTTACTAAAAGAAGATAATATAAAATAAATCAGGATTATTATATTTCATTCTATTTGGGCGTAAACAATGATTATTATAACTAAAAAAATGAGTAAATTAATTTAGAGTATAAATATAACAGCACTGCTAAAATGGTAATAAGCTCCCAGATTGCTTTGTTATCGCTAAATCTTAGATGTCGTAGTTGAACAAAATCGCGCTGTTCCAATGTTAGAAGAAGACAAGAGAAATTAAGAAAATCTTAAAAAGATGCTTACCATGTTGTATTGCTTTTGAATTTTGCTGAAAAAATGTTTTTTTTTTTTTAAAGAAGAAAGAAACGAGGGCCAAATATAATAAAAGGAAAAGGTTAAAATAAAATAAAATTGTAATAAATTAAAGAAGGGGAAGAAAGAGGAAAAGAAGGAAAGTTGCTAGGCAATATTTCAATCAGAAAATAAACTAATTCAAATATTATATATGTTAAAGAACAAGATGACAAGCGACATCAAAATGAATGCTCTGAAGATCTTAATTGATGAAGAGCTACATATAAATGAAAGATAAGAATCTATGCTATAAGATTTTATTAATATATTTGACTATAACAACAATATGAGGAGGAAAAAACAAAAAACAAAGAGATAAGAATAAACAAACAAACCGCTGAATGGTGATATTTTAATTTGGTGTATGATAGACAAATAACTACCCGGGCAGTGATTCTTATTTTGATATTAATCACTGATTTTGTATCTGAGTTCGGAAACGAATGGTAAATGCAAAAGGTCAATAAATCAAACGTTGACGGGGTTGCAGAGGAACATGAGCGACGATGCGGACGCGTCACTTGTAAGCCTTCCACTCCCAAGCCTCTCGTAGCTGTCAATGCAAAACAAGGAGAGGGAGAGCTGCACCTCGTGCCGAGTCCAAACTTGCTTCCTGACCCGCTCCGAGTCTCCGAGTCGACTCAGCACGGGTCTCACGCACACCATGTAGAGCCGCTTATACCCACCGAGGGCAACCACCACGGACCGAACGGACGGCGGCGGCGGAGTGGACACGTGGCGAAAGCAGAGGTGCTCCCAGAGGGAGTCGTCGTTGCGGGTGAGGCTGCACCAGAGACGGCACACAGAGGCGGCGACACCCAGCGAGGGACCGTCGAGTCGTTTAAGGATTTCCCTGAGAATGTCAATGTTGTCGTTTATGAAGAACTTGGGTCGTTTTTCTTGCTCTTCTGAACTGCTTCTTCTCTCCTGCATGTTTTCATGGTGATGCTGGTGCAGGTGCACCATAGTGAGAGAGAGAGACAGAGAGAGAGAGAGAGAGAGAGAAAGATTGTGTAGGGAGTTGAAATGGAAATGGTGGGTTCAAGAAAGAAATGGTATGTGTGAGCCTGTGAGGTGAAGGAACATAGGTGTGGGGTTTTAACTTTTAAGGGTGTGAGTGTGAGAAATATTGACTTTGGGGAAATATTAAGAAACGTGAACTTCTCAAAGGGTAAGTCGACCGTGCAAGAGATTTTTTATTTGTTAATTACTACATTACATTGTTAGATTAATTGTTCTTATAGTTGGACTTAATTGTGCATGTAGAGAGAGAGAGAGAGAGAGAGTGATTGTGAGTATCGAGGGGGAAGAGAAAGAGCCAAAAGAAAGGTCCAAAGCAAAGAACTGGAACCAATGCTATGCTTTTTTCCTCTTGTTGCTTTTCTATATAGGTTTCGGGGTAAGCAGATTTGGTGTTTGTTGTTTTTGTTGTTGTTTGCATTCTTTCCAATACCTTGGATGAGGACCGTTGTGAGAGAGAGAGAAGAAAGAGTTCACTAACTTTGAAGATCTAGTATGGCTGATCGCGCTGTATGTTGCATGAATTGTCACCGAGTATATGCAGAGTTTTATGGTTTTTTGTGGAGAGTTTGGACCATTTTTTTATGAAGAGACGAGAGGTTAAAGTCAAGTACTATTATTATTATTATTATTTATTATAAAAATATCTAGGGAGTGTTTGATTTTTAAAAATTAAAGAACATATTATAAAAAATTATAATTTGCTTGATTCCTTAAATAATATAACTACTCGGCAAAAAAAAATTATGGAACTATACAAATATCTAAATTTTTACTTTAGACTAGATTAAGTTATAAAATCAATCCACAATACAAAAAATAAAAAAGACCATACAAAATAATTTCCACATAATTAATTTTATTTATGATAAAATTTATTTTATTTATTAATAGATATATATATATATATATATATATATATATATCACAAAATTTGTAAACATCAGCATTAGTCATCAAAAAATTAACAACTCTAAAAATTATCCTGTAACTCAATCACTTGTGTTGTACAATGTGTAGTGTGGTATGTTTGATTTTTATTTTATTTTATTTTTGAAGAAAGCATGTTAGATTTTGGAAATTTATATAGTATGCAATAATGCAGATATTACTGCTATTTACTTATTTGCATAAATACCATTGCAAAAGTGAGGCTACTGTAACGTGTATCGACATTCATTTATACCTAACGGATAAGTTCGGCAAGTGCGCTGAGAAGGTTAGAAAACTTAACGTTAATTTCACGCGATGCTTAGTAATTCCAATATCAGGCTAGGGTTGACCCTCTATGGTCATAGTATCAGACCTCTTATCTTTTTATAACGTTTTTTTCTCTTCCAACGTTCGAAGCAAAACTTAGGATTCCATATCAGTTTACATAATTTGGTTAATTTATCGTTTTACATTTTTGACTTATGCTCTGGACTGTTTCTACCAAATCATATTTATTTAATTTAAATACGAAAACAATGTGTACACCCAAAGAAGATAACTAGTGGGCTAATTATAATGCAACAAATATATGTGGTGATGCTAACAATTTCCTTAGAAGAAAGAAAGATGCTGTATTTGCTTAAAGACAATAAGATGAGTTTTTATTTCCCATTCCAATCGAGTTGGCAATTGAGCATCAACAGTGCATTTTCAGAAACAAAAAGAGAATGCACTGAGGCAACCAGAACAACAATGAAATTTTGCTTATGAATCCTTTCAATAAATGGTAACGAAAGGAGGATGAATAATGCTGCACCAAAATTGCCTCGAAACTTTTTCCTTCCCTAGCTAGGCACACCAATAGAAAAGTCACACCACAAGCATTTTATGTTTTTCCACCTTGAAAAAAATTGATGTGAATTTGAATACCAACAAAGAAAAAGGCGGAACTTTCAGATCATGGTCAGGCAATCACTATTGAAATATCTAATGGGGTTGGATTTTCTCCCCACAAAGGAAAACCCCCAAGTCCTTTGAGACAGAAAGCATAAAATATAATATTATTTTAGTTACGGCACTTTGAAATTGACATTTGATTTATTAATTAGGCTTCTGAGGAGGGACTAGACCCCACTCTGCAATTTAGAGAGTGTGTCATAAGGTGTTGTTTTTATTGGGTTGGACTTGTTCGTTGGACACACTTGAGGGAAGCACTGTTCCCTATTCTTGCTCTTAGCAACTCGATAAGTGCAAAACTACAAGGAGATAGATACCCGTAAAGTTTGCAACCAAAAATTTCACCAATTTTTTTTTTTTTTTTTTTTTTTTTTTATCTCACTTCTTTGCTTTCTCCTCCAACAACTATCCTTTGTACTTTGTTGTTGTAAAGTTGTGCCCACATATTAATTGGTCAACTAGCTAGCATATCAGAGATTCTACCATTGTCATGACCATACGTCAACAAATACATATCCAGAGCAGAGTTCAATTATAGAGCCAATTATCTGTGCACCGTGGTCCATTATTACTGTGACCATACAATGAAATAATTTCATCTTTTCACTTAGCTTGTATTGGTTCCTTGTTTTCTTTATCATTGAGGAATTGTTCAATCGTCACATATATTAACACACCGGTGAACAAAAAATTTGAGGGAGTTATAAGAATATTTAATATAGATTAATTTATAATTTTTTTTAATAAAATTATATTTAAAGAAAAGTCATATACTCATATTATACTAAAAATATAAAAGAAAAGGTCAAAATGTGCTTTTTACATTTGAAGATCGCCAGTGGATCATGCTTATTTTGCGCAAAAATTAATTCAACTGGCATTCTTCTTCTTGTGTAGCACTCCTTAATTAAAAATATATATATTACAAAAAAAAATATTGTGCGTAAAAATGTTGTATAAATAATATACTAAATAATAAAATCTAGATAAAAGATATACTTTAATGATTTGTGATCACAATATTAGCACAAGTCCCTTGTGAAAAAAACTTTAAACAACATCCATAGAACAAACAAACAAGCAGGTAAAAGGTAAACAGAAAGAAGGATCGGAAAGCAAACAATGCAATGACAGCCAGTGTTCTAAATCAACGCTATAGATCATGACATTTTTCTCCTAACTACTCTCTTAGCTATAAGTGGGAAACAGTGGAATCTGATCCCTTATTTTGAAAAATTAGCTAATGGGTTGTATTTTTTTCCTTGTGCCTTTGCTTTTGCATGGGATTGAGGACTTTGTTGTTCATTAAATTCCTTGTTTCACGGGGAAGAAACTTCTTCAATCTGGAATTAAATTCCTAACTTCTAGCCTGCTATCAGAAATTTTAGATGAAAAGCTCTGACAAAGGCATCTTTGAACTGTGATATTTGAACATAAAAACAAATAACTAACTAGCTCATAGGATGCAAACAAATAATAACAAGCACAAGGGAAGAAGTTACTATTAGTGGATACAAAATTAAACTTTGTTAACATAAAATTATATCATTAGTCTTACATGAGAGTCAAACTTGCTATTACATACTTTATTTCAGTATGAACTTTAAGCCCAAATCATTCAAGCTGATGGAGAGTGAACTAATAACAACATATGTTAATAAAAATTGCTCGTTCAGAAGGAAGTGGTGCCAGTACATGTCCATGACATGACTCTGGTACCATACCCATAAGTGAGCCAAAGTAACTCAACCAAAAAAGTTAAAAGAGTGAAAAGCAGAAGCCTTAAGCATGTGATTGTGATTTTGAGACTTGTCGCCAGGGTTTGAAATTAATTTTTTAAAAGAATCGAACCGAATTAATTTAAATGGTTTGGTTCAGTTTGAAAACGATTTAGTTCAATTTGGATTGAACCTATTCTAAAAAAATAATTAAAGAAATAAAGTAATAAATATAAATATAAAAGAATCCACTAAATAAATAAATAAGAAAATTAGGGGAAAAAAGAGAAATAAAAAAAGAGAGATTTGATTTTTTAAAACCGATTTGGTTCATGAATTAATTTTTAAAAATCAGTTATATTAAATACAGTTCAGTTCAATTTTTTTTATCTTTTGTACACCTCTATTTGTCACATTACCCGATACATTTGAGAGTTTCATATAACCAAGGCCAACCTCCTCCTTCTTCTTTTTTGCCCCCTCTTTTTTTTGAGTTTTTTTCTCTTTGGCCTAAAAATAAAATTCTAAGTCTATTTTGAATTTCCTCTGCCTCCACATAACTAAGTCAAGTTTAATTCCTTTTAATATTTTGATCTTCTACACATAGGTGTTGCTCGTGGTAAATTTTGTAAAGTTTCGATTAATAATAAATACACATTTTATTTCTTATATGTCTAGAATTAACAATGAGTAAATTAAGTGGTAAATAGGCTTAGGAATTAAAGTGCTTTTACAATGTCAATCTTTGTGTAGAGATAGAATAAACTTCAACAGTACTCTGGTAAACAGGATCTGATACAATGGATATTAGCTCATCATAGGCTGCCAACAAGAAGCATGCTGGCCAGATTGGTTATGTCTATCCCCATCTGCCCTCTTTGTCAGCTGGAAGAAGAATCTATACTCCATATGGCTCGAGATTGTATCAAAATCAAGAGGGTTTGGATGGATTTAATTAATCCTGATTTCTTTAATTTGTTTTTTAGCGCAGATTTGGTTACCTAGCTGAAGATGAATTTGAATGATGTCTTGACGAGGTTTAATGCTCAATGGCCCGTTGTGTTTGCTATCACAGTTGCTTGTGCTTGGCAGTGGAGAAATGAAGTGGTGCATGGAGAAGATGATAATTGGTTGTCCTATAAAAGCCAATCGATAGAACAAAGTTCATGAAATTTCAAATGCTTGGTTACAGTATCATGATGGTAGGATTAATAGGAGATCGATTTACATTCCTGTGGGTTGGTATCCTGCGGAGACTGGCTGGATTAAAATCAACACAGATGGGGCAGCCAAAATTGCTGGTGGTGACACTGCGTGTGGGGGTCTCATAAGGGATGAAACCGGTTCCTGGATTCAAGGATTTGCCTATCATATAGGTAAGTGTTCTGCTTTTGTAGCTAAGCTGTGGGGAGTTCTTAAAGGTCTTGAATTGGCTTGGAATGAAGGCTGGAGACGGTGTTTGTTAGAAAGTGACGCTAGCTCAGTGAGCACTTTGCTCTCCAAGAGTGGAGGAGCAGCTCGAGAGTCCCGTTTGGTGACTCACATTCGAACTTGATTACATAGAGACTGAGAGGTTCAACTGGTGTATGTTTTTAGCAAAAGTAATGGATGTGCGGATGGGCTATCTAAATATCCTTTGGATCATCCACTGGAGAATAATTTTAGTGTGTTTCATTCCCCTCCGGTTGGGATTTTACCGTTATATTTGGCTGATTTCTCTTTAGTTTGTAATTCTCGTAGGATCTTTGTAAACTGAGTTTGTGTTTGAGGTCTTTTTCCCCTCCTTATTTACCCAAAAAAAAAAGAAAAAAAAAAAAAATTTCGACACAGAAAACGAGTATATAATCTGACATTCGCAAATATAAAGCTTATAACACCACAAAATAAAACATGCATATATGCAGTCGGAAACTTGTATACAATCAGATGGAGCAATTTTAAAACATGCTATTATATAAGTAATATTTTTTACAAATATATAGATTTAGCCTTCTTAAAATTCTTATTTTATTGGTCAATTATATGTAAGTGTAAGTAACTACACTTGCAGCCGTTTGTTTGTTAATTATGTGTAAATGCCATTCGGCTATTTCATCAAGTTTGATAGTGGCTGATATATCCTAATATTTTGATTCAAATAAAAATTATAAATTAATTTCAGAAAAAATAGATAAAAATATATACATTTCCAAAAATTGAATAAACTCGTAACACAAACATCCAATTATAACTCCAATTTAAAAAAAGAAAGAAAAAGAAGAAGAAGAATCAGATTTATTTTGTTAAAAAGTATAAAAGAAAATAAGAATGTATCACAAACTTCAGTGATAATTAATAATAATACTTACCATTCAAAACCACTGGCAGGAAAAGAATCAGAAACATTAATATTATTGGGCCACATGAAAGAGGCCCACAAGGTGTGCAATTCAGCCATAAGAAAAAGAACCATGGGTGTTGTTGGGTTGACACTTATGGGAGGACCAGTCCACTTTCCAGTACCACAAGTTAAAATTACATATGGATATGTGTCTATGTAATTTGTGAACTGTGGACCACACAATTCATAAATCGAGAATATGTTCAGTGACACATATGTACGAAATTTTTGGTGTATCTTATATTTTGTCAAATTATTTTTCACTTATTTTAAAATAAATTATTTATTAATAATTTGAGAAAAATAAAACAAATATCACGTTATGAGTGAGATTACGAGTAGAAGATGGTTGGAATATTCAGTGCATCCGTTTTACTGAAGCTGAAGAAATTTTCCTGAACATCTTAGCACGTGTGTCTGACTTTGAAGTACCCGTTGGATTCGACACGCATGGCACTGTAACGGTAAATTGAGAAAGCAAAAAAAACGGGGTTTAATGTTTTTAACGTTTGACTTCAGAAGCTTAATGGGGTTTGGTGGTTCCTCCTCCTCCTCCTCCTCAAGCTTTTGTTTGCAGCATAGACTTCGTCCGTTAACTAGAATAGCAATAGGTAACAGTACCTGTGTTTCCACTCGTGACTTGAGTAGCAAGAGAAAATCTTTCATACAAAGCTTTTCAGTGTCTTATCAGAAGTTTGTCGATTTTGCTTTGGATGAAACCAAACGCCACACCCACTTGGTCCCTTCGCCTTTACAGGTTTTTTTTTTTTTTTTTTTACTCTTTCTTTTGTTGTTGTTGTTGGATTATGTCCATTTTCTGATATATGGGTTCGTGTTGGAATGGTTGATTATGGTTAATTCCATTCTATTTAACAATTTTACAACTCGTTTTAGTGACTTAATTGTTGAAATTGAACTCCAAACCAATGTGGGCTTTCCCAGATAATAGTTTTTAGAAATTAATTCAGGGACAAATGAATAGATTATTTTTATGGATTTTTTTATTTTTAAAAATTGCTTTTTTGGTGCAATTGTGATGAAAGATGTGAGTTCCAGTTGCAGATATCTCCAACCAAATTTAGTAATGCATCCCTACATACCCATTACCAGGAGAGAGGGGAGGGGTAAGAGAAAAAGAAATTGAATGAACTGCCTTTAATTATTTAGGGTTTAGTTTTTTGAATGTTTTACTCAAAACTTGATTATAACTGGCTTTCCAATAGTTATGGTGAATAATGCTGAAAAGTGGTTATTAGAAGTATGGGAAAGTTTACTTTAGGGGTAAAAACTAAAACCTTTGAAAATCAAACTTTTGGATGGCAGCATTTAGTACACCATTCGATTCTTGATATATTGCAGCTACTTCCAATCTTGAAATAATTCGCAATTGATAACTTGACACTTCATGAAGACAGGAACATGTATAACAAGCAACTAAGACAATTATCAAACACACTTGTTGTTGAATACTTGAATTCTTCTTACCTCTGAACATAAATGAAATAAATTGTCACTTTGGTCTGGTCAATGTTTAATACACATTGTATATTTAATTTGAAAAAAAGAAAGAAGAAGATAAAAAAGAGTTTTGAAATTTTTTGTGTAACCATGTTGAGGATGTGGTGTACTGTTTTAATGTTAAAATTTCAGCTTCTGAGAATAGGAATATGTTTGTGAGCATTAGCTAGTTCTTTAATTAATAAGCCATTAAATCTTATAGTTTACATTTTCCTTGTTATTAAGTTATTTAATTTTCCATTTCTTTTATATTTTATTCTTATTATTATTTTAAATTGTTTAATTGAAGCACTAAATTGTTTTGTACATTCTTAGTTGTGATTTTTGCCCCTAGTTATTCGCTTGTCCTTTTCTTTATTTGCTTAGTATGTGTTGAAATTTTCTTAATTTGTTCTCCAGTGTTATTTGTGTGTATAGATCTGCAATTTACATTTTCTTATGTTGTCTGGCCAGGAGAAGTTTAATTCCATGAATTCTAAGGATGGTAAAGGAGGGCTTAGTATGCTATCATTCGAAGCTGCCAAGATTAGGCTTCTGCGAAGTTTGATCATTGAGACAGAAACAACGCAGGTTCTTTATGAAAATATGTCCATCAAACATCATATCAAATTTATATAGGATTGGTTTCCACTGCTGTCTAACAACTCAAGTCTTTATAGTAGCTGTTAATTTACTACAGCCAGAATGATTTCAAATTTTAAGTTTAGTTATATATATTTCTTCCAATCTTAATATTCTTTTTCCTTTATAAATGAAGGATCCTTCATCTAAAACAATGCATTTTAGCAGATTTAATAAGCATCCTTTTTTATCTGTTTTTATATGATATCTCTGATCCTCAGGAGTCAGGAGTCATAACACTGACCAACCCTAGTCCATTATGGTGATTAATAGTATGATCCATAATAGAATTATTTTCTCTAAACACGTTAACTTAACTATATCAAGTATTATTTCTAGTTCTCCAGACTCAAAGTCAAAATTCATATTACCAATTCTTACTGTGGAATTTCTAGTTTAGTTAATTGTACTATTATACCATTTCCATCCTTGACTGGGTTCCAGCTATTTTGAAGTAATAACTACACCATTGGGAGAAATAAGATGTCGAAGATTGCTTCTTTTCTTAATTATGTTATTATATCAATGGATCCTCCTCATGTGAGTACAAGGCATTGGATTTCAGTCCTGAGTCCAACTTCTTCCCATCTCGAATGTGAACGTGAACCTATTTTGCAGTTCCATTTCAAAGATAAAATAATTGAGAAGTCATTACTGAAGTATTCTGCAATCTTTCTTCCTGTCAAATGATGTAGAAGGTTGATTTTACAAGATGCTTACTGTTTTTTTTTGGATTGAACCTCTTATGCAGGTTTTGGATTTTGCTGTGTTTCCGAAAGCAGAATATGACGTCCCCATATTTTGTGCTAACTTTTTCACCTCCACTAGGACAAACATTGTTGTGTTGTAAGTTGGCATGCTTGTATAAATATATAAAGGACATTCTTCTTCCTTCTTTACATTTATTTGTGGAAAAGTCTAGCAATATTGCTTATCTTTGCAATTTTTAACTTATTCCTAAGCCACATTTCTGCTTATGGAAACTTATATTTGGCTATCATGAACTAACTATCCTAAAATCTTAAGTTGTTTGGTGAAGACACAAAAATGGTTTTATATTACATATCTAGCATAGCCTCAATGCAAGAGAAGTGTTGACAATGTAAAGGCCCACCCACCTTGTGCTGAAACTCAACCTTTCATTAGAAGAATAGGAGTGACAAGGATCAAACTTTGGACCACTTAATCATTGGGGCTCTAATACCATGTCATGAACCAACTATCCCAAAAGCTTAATAATAGGGATGATTTGAATGATATGGGGGTAATTATAACAGATTATGACGGGCCTTTACGGGGGCAAATCAACCTAATAATGTTATGATAGGAGGTAATTATAGTGAAATAAGGCTGATCTGAGTTAGTATGGAGTCAATAAGAGTTCTACAAATAGAGGAGTCAGTAAAGAGAATAGGGGTCAATTATCTAGCTATCTTTTAGTGAGTGAGAGTAATCTCATTGTAAAGGGCTTGCCCTTGGAGCGCAATGAGCTAGTGCCTCTTTTCTGAGTGTTATCATCATACATTTTATTTTTTCAAATAATAAAGTTTGTTGATTTCTACCCAAATAGAGGAGTCAGTAAAGAGAATAGGGGTCAATTATCTAGTTATCTTTTAGTGAGTGAGAGTAATCTCATTGTAAAGGGCTTTCCCTTGGAGCGCTATGAGCTAGAGCCTTTTTTCTGAGTGTTATCATCATATATTTTATTTTTCCAAATAATGAAGTTTGTTGATTGCTACCCTTGTTCTATTTAATAATCTGCCATTATTAGGTTGATTTGCTCCTTTAACAGCCCCTATCATAATTACCCCGTATCATTCAAATCATCCCCATCACTCATTGTATTAGATGAAGACATACGAGTGGTAAATCATTCAGTTTTAACTTCAGAATATAAGTCATCTTCTGATCTATGTAAATATATGCTTTCGGGATATATACAACTTTAAACTTTATGTCTTCATTTGGATGTGGTAAACATTTTATGTCTTCAGAAATGGCAATGCAACATTTTCCCATCCATGAAAAGTTTATCACTAATTATGAAAACTTACCTTGAGTTGCTTTACATTAGGAAGTTGAAGTGTAAATCATTCAGTTTTAACTTCACAATATAAGTCATCTTCTGATCTATGTAAATATATACTTTCGGGATATATACAACATAAAACTTTATGTCTTCATTTGGATGTGGTAAAAACCATTGTTTTGTTGTCTACTAATGTCACTAAAGTAGGGTGTATCTAGTATCAACTAGTCTCATTAGCAGGTGACGGGTCTTTGATTGAACTTTGGTAAAAGAAAATACCATATTTCCATAGGTTTCAATTTACTTTCCTAATCATTTTAAGGGAATGCTTCATTCTTTCATGAAATAGGCTCATGTCTATGTTCTTGTTTGAAAGATCTCAATGTTACTTTAGTTAGAAAATAGTAGCTGTTTTACTATAAGTGCCAAGCCCTTTAGTTTACTATTGTTGAACCTTGAAGAGGATGAAGTTTAGCCCTAATCAGAAGAACTAAGATCCTTACTTGCAGTGCTCATTTTCTCTTTAAAATGTGGTTTTGGAAATAGAGAACTCTGAAACCTTAGTTCAATAATTTTGCTACATCTATTATCATCTCATGATGTCATATACAAGATAAAGGAGATTTGGCATTGAGAGTGTCTTTGATTGACTGTTTAAATTTAAGTTATACGTACCAAAATCATCCTTATTGCCTGTACTTTTCATTTTCTTAATTCTTATAATTATAGCTTTAGAATCCAGTTTAGAGCTGAAGTGGATTTACCTTAATTTGAATTTATAGGCTTCTGTACGATAGGTATCCTGTTGATCTAATATTTGAAGTACATCTTAGAACAAGTATTAGATGAAGCCACTATAGATGAGAAAAAATATGCCTTTCTTGATCTGTAACTACAAACACAAGAATCTTATTTGCCGCATCTCTATTAAATTTTGTCAGCTGTGGAAGACTGCTATAGTGCCATCATTTTTTATCTATTGTCAACCTTCTCAGGTTGCATTGCTTCTCCTTCAATTTAAATGCATTTAGTCATTTCAGTGCATGTGCTTTACATAATTGACACTTCGGACTTGACCAAAATGAAGCCTAAACTGAATCCATGAAGAATGATGTGACAGGCTGCAGTGCTCACCTTTTCTCCCCCAATATTTTTTACACCATAAACGTCTTAGAAGTCTAACTTTTCTTCACTGATGTCATTGGCAATGTGATAAAGGTTTCCCACTGTGCCATTTATTGCTTCAAACATTAAGAACAAATTTCTATATGTAATGTGGATCACTAACTTTGCATTAATGATGACAGGGACCTGAACCCCTTGCATGATATCATCAATCAGCAGGACTACAAGGAAAAGTATTTTAAAAGCTTAATTCCTCTTGGCCTTAAATATGCTGAGGTAACTGCAAATATCGTAGGAAAATTACAAGAAAAGAATTGTTGGTCGAAATTATTTTCAGTTTAGGAACAGTTAACCACTGAACTGTGTAACATTGTTAAAAAGTTAGGTGAATGAGTAACTACTTCTTGACCTGATGAACCACACGAGTGATTAATTGTTCTATAACTGGATATACTTTTATCAAGAATTCCTTCTTTGCAGTTTTCCCATTATAGTAGTCTTGGTTCTTTAATTAAAGACAACAAGTGTGCGTCTCTGTTCTTGTGTTAATTATACTAGTTCTCTCTAAAAGGAATAAGTGCATTGACTGAGCACAAACTTCATGCAGATTTTTCCATGGGGAGGGAAACTCACAAGTGAGTCTATAAAGTTCTTTTCACCGATTGTCATTTGGACAAAGTTTACTTCAAGCCCACAAAAATATGATACTCTGTATTCTGCTTTCAGGGATTATTACGAGGTAATTAACCCAAGCATCATGTTCAGTTTTATGAATATGACAATTCATATTTTGCTAAGTGATATATTTAGTAACCTTTGCAACAGTTGAACCTATAAATGTATTATTTTAATCTTGATGACTGTCCCCCTTGCAGATATGGTTGGAATTGATAGATAAAGCAGTTAAGGAGACAGATGGATCTCAGATTTTCCGCAATCTTGAAGCACAACATAGATATCTAACATGGAGAGCCGAAAAGGTAGTTCAGATTTGTCTCAAATGTTTTTTAATAGTCAGTCATTCGATTGGTGATCTGGCCATAAGAATACATATGTTTGTCGTGGTGTTATGAAGCAGCTCTCTCCCAAGAGTCTCACCTATTAGATGAAAATACATGAATGATATTATATTATCATCTCTAACACTTCACTTCACGCAAGAGCCCCTTGAGCTTGAAGCGTGGGCAATGCACACATTCATAGAAGCTCTAAACCACTTGGTTATAGAAGCTTTGATATCATGTCAAAAACCAATGATCCAAAAGCTGAATAGCGCTTGTTAAGTGAAGAAAATGGATGGTTTTATATTAACATCTCCAGCACATGGAACTTGATCCTCTCATGTTAGATTATCACATAATCTTGTCATGTGAAAACTTTATGTTTATCTCTCTGAATAGATTTTCACTAATTTTGGTAGGGCTCCACCTCACCTTAATGTTCATTAAGAGAGATGTATGCATCAATTTTCACATTACAAGGTCATGTAAAAATCTAACATCAGATGATCCATTCTTGGAGGTTGTTATTGGTTTAGGATTTTCTAATTCAGCGAGAACTTCACTCATTTAGCATCAGTTGAAAATAAATAGATGATAATATTATCAAACAAGATTTTTAGGCTGGTGTCGGATGGGAACATCAATGTCCTTAAAAGATCTAGCTAACTTTTTGTTTCTAAAACAATTTATAAAAGCTATTTTCTACATACAAATCAGAACTCTTGCTTTGAATTATATAACATTTCACATAAAGTTTGAATTGAAGTTTTGAACTATATAACAGTGGAACCAATCTAACATGTACTTGAATTTAGAATGTATAGTTCATTTCTAGTTTTTTTCTTTCTTTCCCTCAAATGGGCCTGGTTCACGGAACTATTTGTGAAATAGGATCCAGGACAAGGTGTTTTGAAGAAGCTGTTAGGGGAGACTCTAGCCAAGGTAGCCCAAATTTGAGGTCGGGTTTCATTTGTCTACAATCTAGTATTACAGAGCCTTACTTCCAGTTTTATCTGATAGGATTTGTTGAGAAGCTTTCTCTTTAATGGAGTGGATGAACTAGGAAGCAAAAAGTTCAATGATTATTTTCCTCACTACTGCAGCGAGGATGGAACTCTAAATAAGAAAGCCAGTATTATTGGGAAGTCTTTTGAAAATCGCCCATGGGATGCAAGAGGAGAATTCCTTGGTAACATATTTTTAAATCGGGTTTTGTTCAATTTCTGCTTTCTTTTCATCTCTTTTCACCGTCTTTTGTTATTTTGTGCTCCCCTCTTATCATTGTGTTTATGTCCTCCCATCAAGATACTACAAATAAAAAACCATTCTGTGAATCATGGATTGTTTCCTCTACCTTATCTTCCTTGGTACAATAAATGTTCTGCATATTTATCTCAGTGGCATCATCCATGTATTTTGTTGTAAATATTGGTTATTTTATTATTATTATTTGTTGTATTGGGCCAAGTCCATTAGGTCAAATATTAGGGTTTTCATTCTCTATAAATAGAGACCCCTTTGTACAGATTATTTACACAATTCAATAATATCAGAATACCTTTTTTCAAGTTGATATCAGAGCTCTCGATCCTGAGGGCTCTGCTTCCGCACCTATTGTCTTTAGAACAAAACCTTTTATTCTTTTCGTCTCTCGCTGCCATCAGCCGCCACAGGAAATTTTTTTTCCGGGGACCTCTTGGACCGAGAAGACCTCTGTTTTTCCTCATCAAACACCTTCAGTCACGTTAAAAATCAGATCGCTGTTACTGTTCATCACCACTGTTACTGTTCATCGCGTTTTTTTTTTTTTCCCCCAAACAAGACAGAATCTGTTTCAACGCGTTTGGACCTTTTCCCGGCGGTTTTTCAACTCCGACCAGCCCCAGATAGAACCGCGCTCGCCGGACGACGCTGCCCCAGAAATCTCAGCCCGGAAGACCACCGCACGCGCCTCTCCTTCATCGGCGCGTGAAGCCCACTCGCAAACCACTCCACCGGCGCGTGGGGGTGGTTCTCGGCGGCGGACCAGTACAGTTCTTCTCGTCTCCTTGTCTTCTTTCTGGATCTGTGTTGTTTTCTCAGATCGGACATCGTTTGGTATTTTTTCCGTATTTTTTGGCTTCTTGGAGCTTTTCTTTGACCATTTTTTGTGCAGTATGGCCTCTTCTCAAAGGAGTTCCTTTACAAGGTTTTATGATGGTACATCTTCTAGACCTAAGAGAGATGATCGATGGTGTTCTTAATGTAAAAGAATAAGTCATATCAAGGATTTATGCTTTCGCCTCCATGGAAAGCAAACTGTCTTAGAAAAGATAGCAAGGATGCGTGGTCAAGCGCATTTTACTTCCTTTGAAATAACCCCTGCACCTAATGAGACCCAACCTGCATTTCGTCCAGATGAGTTGGAACGGCTCCGAACCATCCTTGATTATCTGAGTAAGCCATCTAATACTAATGCTTTGGCTATGACTAATATGAGCTCCAAAACTCATTCTTTCCCTTCTTCATGTAATGATTTTAAACATTCTTGGGTTGTTGATTCTGGTGCTACTGATCATATGGCTTGTTGTGCTGACTCCTTTACTTCTTATCATCCTACCATTGGAACTCATACAATAGCCATAGCTGATGGCTCACATACATCAGTTGCGGGTTCTGGTGACATAAACTTACAGCAGTCCTTACATCTTAAAGATGTTCTTCATGTTCCTAAACTCTCCACGAATCTTCTTTCTATTCATAAAATTACAAAAGATTTGAATTGTACTGTAACCTTCTTCCCTACCCATTGTGTTTTTCAGGATCTCGCCACGGGGAAGACGATTGGTAGTGCTAAAGAGCAAGGTGGGTTGTACTATCTGGTGTCACAATCTCCCGCAAATAAAGTAACAGATCACATCTTGATGTCTCATGGTCAATCAACTGCTGATTCTTTGATTTGGCTTCATCATAAGCGCTTGGGACATCCTCCATTTGGTTTACTCAAGTCTTTATTTCCTTCATTGTTTTTGTCTAAGCCTATTGAGTCTTTTCATTGTGATGTTTGTGAATTTGCTAAGCATCATCGTGTGTCTTTTCCTTCTAGTAGTACTAAGAGTGTTGATCATTTTGATCTTATTCATTCTGATGTTTGAGGTCCTTCTAAAGTCCCTCATGCTTCTGGAAATAGATGGTTTGTTTCTTTTATTGATGATTGCACTCGTGTAACTTGGGTTTACTTAATGCGTGAAAAGTCTGAGGTACCACAACTGTTCTTTCAATTTTATAAAATGGTTGAGACCCAATTTGGTAGGAAAATCAAGAGACTAAGAACAGATAATGGTACTGAATATGTTAATAACAGTTTTTCCCAATTTATACGAAATAACGGTATGATTCATGAACTTACTTGTGTTGACACCCCTCAACAAAATGGGGTTGCTGAAAGAAAAAATCGTCACCTTCTTGAAGTGGCTCGTGCATTAATGTTTCAGACACATGTACCCAAATACTATAGGGGAGATGCTATTCTTACTGCTGCATTCTTGATCAACCGTTTACCCACTCGGGTCCTTGACCATGTAAATCCTATTCACTCTATAACTTCTTTTTTCCCTTCTATTCCAACTATGAGTCTTCCTCCACGAGTGTTTGGGTGTGTTGCTTTTGTTCATGTTCATAAACATCATCGCAGTAAGTTGGATCCTAGGGCTATTAAATGTGTTTTTCTTGGTTATGTTCCTGATAAGAAAGGCTACAAGTGTTATCAAACTGGTAGTAGGAAATTTTTTGTTTCTATGGATGTTACATTTCAGGAATCTGAGTCATTTTTCCATGGTCCTCATCTTCAGGGGGAGAATCCTTCACCTCCCTTCTTTGAGTCTTCAGTGTCTACTCCTTTACCTGTGTCAGTTTATCCTCCTCTTGTTCCTGTTTCTCCTGTGTCTCATCCTCCTGTGAGTGATCCTCTTGTGACTGATCCTCCTGTGACTGATACATTCAGTACACCAGAGATACGGAAGATTAGGACACCTGAGTTGGTATATCAAAGAAGGAAACAACCCACATTGCCTCAGCAGCAACCTCAATCGTCTGAACCACTGGTAAGTCCTGAATCTCATATTTCTGATCATGATGTTAATACTTCTGATGACTTACCCATTACTACTGATTATGATGATTTACCCATTGCTCTTAGAAAAGGAAAAAGATCTTGTCCCAAGAAATCTTGTTCCTTTTGTCCCTCTTGTACTCAGTACCCTATCTCCTATTTTGTTTCCTCTGCTAATCTTTCTGTGCAGCACAAAAGCTTTGTTTCAGCACTAGACTCTATTGCAATCCCAAAATCAGTACATGAAGCCTTGAAAGATGGGAATTGGGCTCAAGCCATGTAAGAGGAGATGAATGCATTGGAGGAAAATAAAACATGGGAGGTTATTGATAGACCTAATGGAAAGAAAGCAGTATGGTGCAGATGGGTTTATGCCCTGAAATATAATTCTGATGGAACTCTTGAGAGATACAAGGCTCGATTAGTTGCCAAAGATTACTCTCAAACCTATGGCATTGATTATGAAGAAACATTTGCTCCAGTTGCAAAGATGAATATGGTGAGAGTCTTGTTATCCCTTGCTGCCCATCACAATTGGGATATAAATCAATTTGACGTGAAGAATGCTTTCCTCAATGGTGAGTTAGAAGAAGAAGTTTACATGTAAATCCCGCCTGGTTTTGATTGGGTGAAGGGAGAAAATAAAGTTTGTAGATTAAAAAAGGCCTTGTATGGATTGAAGCAGTCACCTCGTGCCTGGTTTGGAAAGTTTACTAAGGTTATGATGACCTTAGGATACAGACAGAGTCAAGGAGATCACACTCTTTTTTTCAAGCACTCCCAAAATGGGAAGCTTACTGTGCTCCTTGTATATGTTGATGATATTATTATCACAGGTGATGATTTTGTGGAGAGACAGATTCTGCAAACACGGCTTGCCTCTGAGTTTGAAGTCAAAGACCTTGGGAAACTGAGATATTTCCTAGGGATAGAAGTAGCTCATTCGAGCAAAGGAATTTTTATCAGCCAGAGGAAATATGTTCTTGATCTTCTCAAAGAAGCAGGAAAGCTCGGGTGTAAACCCTCTAATACTCCTATTGAGCAGAATCACAAGATAGGCTATAAAGAAGAAAGTCCTCCAGTTGATAAAGGACAATATCAACGGCTAGTTGGGAAATTAATATATCTGGCACATACTAGACCAGACCTAGCTTATGCTGTTAGTGTTGTCAGTCAGTTTATGCACGATCCAAAGGAGAAACACATGCAGGTAGTAGAGAGAATTCTTCAGTATCTTAAAGCTACTCCTGGTAAAGGATTGTTATTCCGACGTGATGGCAATCTCTCTTTAGAAGTCTACACTGATGCTGATTATGCTGGATCTGTGACTGACCGTCGATCTACTACTGGTTATTGCATGTTTCTCTGTGGTATCTTAGTGACATGGAGAAGTAAGAAACAAGATGTGGTTGCCAGATCAAGTGCAGAAGCTGAATTTCGAGCTATGGCTCAAGGCATTTGTGAGTTATTGTGGCTGAAAATTGTACTTGATGATCTCAAAATAAAATGTGAGGGACCTATGAAGCTGCTATGTGACAATAAGTTCGCTATTTGTATAGCTCATAATCCGGTTCAACATGATCGGACTAAACATATTGAGGTCGATCGCCATTTCATCAAAGAGAAACTTGATAGCGGGTTGATTACCACCCCATACATTCTCACTGGGCGTCAATTGGCTGATCTATTAACAAAGAGACTTTCTCCAGACAGATTTCAAGAACTTACTAGCAAGCTGGGAATGATAAATATCTATTCCTCAGCTTGAGGGGGAGAGTGTTGTAAATATTGGTTATTTTATTATTATTATTTGTTGTATTGGGCCAAGCCCATTAGGTCAAATATTAGGGTTTTCATTCTCTATAAATAGAGACCCCTTTGTACAGATTATTTACACAATTCAATAATATCATAATACTTTTTTTCAAGTTATTTTATGTTCATTGGTTGCTTGAAGGTGCTGAACTGGCAGTTTAATATGAGATGCCAGAGACCTTGTTGTAGTTTCACGATTAAGAATGAGATAATTTCAGTAATGAAATAGTTGTTTCGTTTTGCAAGCCAGCAAATATTATTGTAGAAGCAAGCACTTATTAGAGCATACTATCTATCAAGCAATCTTCGGAATTCTAATGGCATCTGGCATATAATTTTTAATGATCCTTCAACAGTGTTGATGTTGATCTTTAAAGGTCAACGTTATGCTTAATGTGGTGCTGACATTTGATCCTTGGAATATTTCAGGTGATTGACAATAGAAGCTTGCTCACACGTTTGAAGTCAAACTCTTACCAGGCATGTTACTGTTTAAAATTTTGGTGGTTGCGTTTCTACAAGCATGCAAAGCTCGTGTTGCCCACTGGAATGTTTGTCCATAGTTAATAGCCTTAAACAATTATCATATTGGTTATATCAATTATCAAGATGCTTGTAATTTTCTTTTCATGCTATTTCTTTTTATACAAATTCTTACACGCAAAGAACACGGCTATAAACAAATCTCAACACCATGACTGTCTACATATTTGTAATATTAAAATTCATATTGTAAGATTCGAATCTTGATTTATCTGCAGCTGTGGTGTAGGGAAATATATTCTAGTACTGAAGACTCAGTACATCATTTACTTAATTTGAAAATAATAATATATTTATTTTACCATTTTACCCTTTTTTTGTATGGTTATTTTCTCCTAAACCATTATCTTTTTTTACTTTTAGTAAAGGAGTACATACTACAGTGGTACCAAAAATATGCTCGTTGTGTAGGTGTGAGATTAATATAGTGTGTAAACTCTTATCCCTTGTGCTAAACTAAAGTTCTTTTGTTAAGCATATGATTTCATTTTGATCAGAATTCCCAACGTTAGTATGTAAATAAATTAGTTTATAGAAGCTGAAATTCACTTTTCATCATGGTTAATTCACTTGTCGCTAGAAGAAGGAATGCATGCAATAAGAGAATCGTTCCTTACTGCTTTACTTTTCTACCTTGTTGTCGTCTCCATCAAATCATTTTTTTCTTCTCACCTTCATCGTTCATTTTAGGTTATGCACTAAATATTGAGTCAGGCGGAGAGAATAAAGAAGAATCAATAAGTGGGGCTATCTTTTCCTTCTTGGTTTATTCTTGTATTGTTGCTTACAGTTACAGCCTTATAGGCTGCCATTTTATTCATTATTATTTTATATCTCAGAATTACATTAATCCTTTTTATTATTATTTACATTAATCTTTAAGGTCCCTTCTGTTGTTCAAAACTCTCTGGAGTTCATTTTTCACTCATTTCTCGTCATTTGATAAATTCATTTTTGAAATTAATAAATTAATTTCAACACGAATGATATAAAAACAGTGCAAGTCAAAGAAATAAAGAAACATCGGTTTGATTGTGTTTTGATTCTTTTTGTTTTTATAACTATTTTGTAAACGAGTTAATGAAATGTGTTTTTTTATGTTTGTTTTTTTTTTAATTAAAAGTCAAAACATGAAACAAAAATAACTCAGATATATTTTGTAAATTTGATTTAAAAAACATTTTTAATTTTTAATTTTTTTTTATAAAATAGGCTTTATCAAAATGATTTTTTTCTAAAAATTAAAAAACTCTTTTGAAACATATATCGAACATGCCAATCATCTCTTCCGCATTATTTCTCTTATTTTGACAAACCATCCCCAAAATAATAATAATAATAATTAAAAATGGAACGATTAATTCATGATACTTTAATTCATTGAATAACTATCTTTATATCAGAACATTGTGATTAAATTATTAAAAAAAAAGGTTTTTTTGTAGCATTTCTATTCATGTCCCTACACATAGGAGCCTAAGGGGGTATTTGGTAGAGGAATTTTTTTGAGATTCACGGGAAATTGATATTGAGATTCTTATTTATCCACATATGGTAGATGGATTGAGAAAAAAATTTCGGGAATCTAATTTTTCAATGATTTTGATTTGTGAACCATTTGTATGCCAAAATGTCATCCAATAATACCACCAAGGGAGGTGGTATTATTAGATTCTCAGGTGATGGAAAAATTTATTTTTAGAACAAAATACCTTGTGTTTTTCGACAAGAATGATGCCGAAAGCGTATACAAAAAATGGCTAAACAGAATGTTAGGATTTTCATAAAAGAGTAACCCTTTGGTTCTCAATTTCATTTAACAAAATAACAAAATTCAATACCCACAATAAGAGTCATAAGCACCCTTTTATAGACTAATTATAAATTGATCCAAAATTTAAAATTCAAAATCTAAAATCCTAAGAATAAGGAAAATACCTAAAATAAATATAACGGTAATTCACTTTTAAAAATAAATAAATAATTACAATTAAATCATTTAAAACACGTTCCAAATCTTATATATCAAATTATGCCAAAAGTGTTGCTTTTCTTTTCTTGCCAAACAAATCATAATCATATTTGTTGCTTCATTTGGACATAAATTTAATTGTAATTTGTTATATTTCAAATTATTGATGCTTATTGGGCCACAATTCTGGTTGACTATGGGCTTCTTGAATCAATGGTTAGGTCATACGCAATGGGTCAACTCTAAGTGCATTATTCTTCCCTACTAGAAAAAGATTCATCCTTGAATCTTCCTCATCTTCATTGATCTCGATCTATTTAGGTCAAATGATAATTCTTCCTCTATTAGATTTCATCATTTGATTCTCCATCAGAATGATCATCATAGACTCGATGATTATTATAAACTGATTTTCATCGTAAGTTGAATAATTATCATAAATTAGATAATCATCATAAATTGGATTATCATCATACATTGGATAATAATCATAATAAGGATTATAATCATAAACTTTAAAGTTAGGAATGTTGAGTTGCATCTCTATATATTGAAAAGTGAACTGATTTTCAGGTCGTGCTCTCCAATTTCGTCCCTGGTTTACAATCCCCAAAGGATTGGCGTCCTCCTCTTCATCACCAGATGTGTCCTCTAATTCCATTCCTTCTTCGGAATGAATGCCCAACTTTGTTCTTGCAAGTCGCCGCCCTAAATCTTGGATTTTCATGCTCTGCGCCTCTACAAGTTGTCGCTTAAAAATTTGGATTTTCTCACTATGTGCCTACACGAGTCGTCACTCCAAATCTTTAATATTCTTGCTTTGCGCCCGCACAAGTAGTCGCTCAAAAACATGGATCTTCTTGTCCAACGCTTACTCAAGTTGTTGCTTAAAATCCTAGATCCACCTTTTGAGCTCATCATTTTCTGTGTCTCGCAGGTAAACCTGACGCGATTGTCTATCTCCTTCATGAACGAATCCACGTCCTCTACCCTCATGACTCTGTTGTCGTCGACCTCCACAATTCTGTTCAGCCATTGGTTGAAGACAACCTAGTGCTTTGATATCAAATGATGTCGAAGCAGTACCTCATTGGCTAAGCAAAAAGAAAAACTGAACGCAAGGTTTGCGAGTAAAAACTTTTTCTCTTTTCTGAATTTTATTTAACTAAGAAAATGAAATAATAATAAGGTTCTTCAAGTCTTAAATAGGCAAACAAAATAAAATGAAAATAAAATCAAACATAATCAAAAGGAATCATGCTCAATCAAAGGAGATAACGCACACTCAAACATAATCTAATAAATAACAAAAAGTTAAATAACTAACAATTATTCAAAAACCCTCAATTATGGAAAAGCCCAAGACTACTGCTGCTCATGGAAATGCGACGAGTCTTGCGCATAAGCCCATTTAGAGTTGTATATCCAAATTTGAGCCCAATCTAAGTCAATCAGCTAAGGTGCATCATCCTCTCCCGCTAAGAAAAGATTCGCCCTCGAATATATGTCATCTTCATTTATGTCAACTTCTTCAGGTGGGAATCCAAGTGGCAACTCTTCTGCTACAATATCATCAAATTTCCTAATTAAGGGTAGATCTTTTGAATGCAATTCTTTGATATGCTTGGAATGTTCATCTACATTTGAACTAAACTGCTTGGGAACTATAAATAATGCAAGTTCTAAGGGAGTAAGTGGAAAAAACCCATAAACTATCCCAAAAGGACTATTGCCTATAGTTTGGTTGAAGGCAACCTAGTGCTCTGATACCAAATGATGCCGAAGCAGTACCCCATTGCTAAACAAAAGAAAAACTGAACACAAGGATTGCGAGAAAAAACTATTTCTCTTTTCTGAATTTTATTTAACCAAATAATAATAGGGTTCTCCTAGCCTTATATATGCAAACAAAATAAAATCAAACATAATGAAAAGGAATCATGCGCAATCAAAGTAGATAACACGCACTCAAACATAATCTAAGAAATAACAAAAAAGGTAAATAACTAACAATTATTGAGAAACCCTAAATCATGGAATAAACTATAGAAAAGCCCAAGATTGTTGAAGCACATGGCAACGCGAAGAGTCTTGCTTAGAAGTCCATTTAGATTTCGTTCTCCAAATTTGAGTCCAATCCAAGTCAATCAACTCGGGTGCATTATCCTTCCCCCATTAAGAAAAAATTCGCCCTCGAATTTGTGTCATCTTCATTGATGTCAACCTCTTCGGGTGGTAATCCAGATAACAACTCTTTTGGTACAATATTATCAAATTCCCTAATTAAGTGTAGAACTTGTGAATGTAATTCTTTGATATGCTTGGAATGTTCATCTACATTTGAACTAAACTGCTTGGGAATTAGAAATAATGCGAGTTCTAAGGGAGTAAGTGGACAAATCTGTAGACTATCCCAAAAGGACTATTGACTGTAGTTAGGTTCAGTGATCGCATCTGTGATCTGTCATAGAAAAATAATGCTTGAGATAACTTAGAGTCTCATTCCTCTTGACAATCTCAAATTAAACTTATACCAAAAGCTAAATTGTTATCTCCATGGAGCATGAGGTTGCCATGTCTGTTATGCCCAAGTTCATAATTTTGCTTGCAAACTAAAGATTTCTTGAACGAATGATCATTCGTCATAACATATTTGGATAGAATTTCAGCTTTGTCAAAGATATTAGAATTTCTAGTAATTGACTTTACACTGAAATCACTATAAAGGATTTCTTCCTTATATGGATTCTTATCGTCTGGCTCCCTATCATACTCATCATAGACATGGAATTTGTCATAGACCGGAGTATCAACAATTAGATTCTCATCATCTTCCTCTCCGTCAGATTCATCATAGATAGAGACCTCGTCATAGAGTGGGTACTTTTTGTTCTTCTCTTCATCGAATTCGTCATAGATAGGGATATCATCATAGATCGGAGCTTCAATAAGCATCACAATCTGCTGATTTGGAAAATTTGTAGTGATATGTCAATCCTATGACACTTGAAACACCTCTACACCGCAACACCAATCTTTTTTGCTTCATCATTAGTTTATCCTTCTTTGTTCGCTGGTTTAGGATTAGAAAGAGTCTTCCTCACACTAGTGTTAGTTGCTAAGCTCAATAGCTCATAGCTGTCAGAAAATGTATGTTTAAATTTTAAAGTACCTCCCTTTCTCTTACATTATCCCTCTACCTTTAATGCCAGTTGACTTACATCCTTATATGACCAATACTGATGCAGGTATACGACATCTGAGATCATAGTTCACAGTCATCTCAGGCAATGAGCAATCAATTGTTCGTCTTCCTCTATGATATCGCATCATATCCGTAGATGGTAATATTCAGAGGATGTTATTTAACTGACAGGTCTCGCTGCTTGAGATTATGGTACTCAATAAATGCCCCGTACCAGTAACAAATATATAAGATTTTGTTGCAATAGTTTCTTCATCTTATTCCAACTCTTGATCTTCGATTTCCCTTATCTGATTCGTTGCTACTTAATGTGTTCCCTCCAAATTGAGGCATACTTACTCAATTTGATAGCAACCAATTTGACCTTCTAGTCTTATGTCAAGTCTTTGATGTCAAAGACCTTTTCAATGGTGTATAACCAATCGATAAACTCATATAAATAAGTGGCGCCCTCGAATTCCGAGATTTCAATATTCATCCCAATATTGCAAAAAAAAAGATAGATTGGCAAGTCGATTTTGTCTTTGTCGCTCCTTCCTTCCTCATGAGACAATCTTTTAGACTTCATTCCTTCATTTGACTCGTCCAACTATGTTAGGGTAAACAGTTGCTCGAGCTCCTGAATTTGTCTATCTTGTTCTGCCATTGTAACGGCCAATGCAACTACAATTGTGTGTCTCGTGCATTGATGTGTGGTAGTTTGTTGTCGTCGTTAAGGGTGTTATGAAGCCCTCTACCGTCACTACCCCGACCCTGTCGTCCACAACATCGACCTCGACCGCCATTGTTTTGTTCAGCTATTTATGTGACAACCAGAACTCTGATTACCAAATAATGCCGAAACGCAAAGAAAAGATGGCTAAACAGAAAGTTAAGATTTTCACAAAAGGGTAATCTTCTGGTTCTCAATCTCAATTAACAAATAACAAAATTCAACTCTCACAATAAGGGTCACAAACCCTCTTTTATAAACTAATTATAAATTGATCCAAAATTCAAAATCTAAAATCCTAAGAATAAGGATACCTAAAATAAATATAACAGTATTTAACTTCTAAAAATAAATAAATAAATAATTATAATTAAATCATTCAAAATATGTCCTAAATGTTATTTCTCAAATTATGTCAAAAGTATTGCTTTTCTTTTCTTGATAAAAAATTCATAATCATATTCGTTGCTTTATTTGAATTTGAATTTGATTATAATTTGTTATATTTTAAATTACTGCTTCTTTTAACAATTGAGTAATACTTATTGGTTGAGCCAGATGCATTGAGCCAACTGTAACTGCGTAAAAAAAACTCCCTCCTCTCTCTCTTCTCTCTGCACCATCATCAGTTCCATGCTTTACAGAAAATACAGAAGACAAACAAAACGGAAGAAGCAAGGACTTAAACCTTCCACCAAAAAGGGAAAGAGAAGAAAACAGCAATAACAATAATAATAATAGTAATGAAGGAGAAGATGGCAGAGGAGGATATGACTCTGGTGAAACTGAAATGACAAGAAGACCTTGAGGAAGACCAGCCGGATCCAAGAACAAACCTAAGCCACTAGCTTCTTCTGGTGTTGTTGTCACTCTTCACAGAAGGTTCGAGATCTTGTCCCTTGCTGGATTATTTCAGCTGCTTCGAGTTTGACAATATATTTGGCCGGTGGTCAAGGCCAAGGTTGTAGGAGGAAGTGTTTTCTAGATTTGTAAAAATAAAAAAAAAATTGACTGAATGTTTATTTTAAATTCGAAAAAATTTGAATGAAAATATTAAGTAAGGTTAATTTTGTAAAATTATTTCATATTCCAATAATATTTGACGAAATTATCAAACATAGCATAAGTAATATTGAACCAATATTTTCAATACTATTTTCATATATTAAACAACTTTTTAATATTATTCAAGAAAAATTTACAATCATAATTTCCAAAAAAAAAATTATTCACTACCATAATTGTTATACTGAGATGGTCAAAAGTGAAATTCCATTCTCAATCAATCCTATGCCACGCGGGTAGAGCTTTAAAAGAAATTAAATGAGACAGAGAGAAACATCGAAGGTGCAGCCAGCAAAATGAGAAGCAGGTCTATGCATATAGCTATGGGATGCAGCAGTAGCAGCAGTGGCAGCATCAGAAGCACACAGTAAAACAGACACGCAGAAGAAAAGCATCGTCAAGCATAGAAGCGGGAGAGACTAGGGACTAGAGAGCAGTACTAGAGTAGAGGTATCAGACTTCCAGCATATGTCTATCCCACTTTGTCCTTCATTCATTCCATCATTTAAATATAAATAAACAAAGTACCTAATAAAGAAGTTGTCATTAATTTTTATTATAAGCTTTTTAATTATTACAACTGTTCATGGATGTACGATAATTTTAGCTTTTTTATTTATTTTACATTATAGTGATCTAACAATTACTAACTAAAATATGTTTTCCTGCATGCTCACAATTGCCGCGTCCCTTTCGTTTTTACTGACAGTGTACAATCTTTTTTCATGATTTAATAGAAATATAGTTATATCCCACAAGTCAAGTATGACACCAGAATATTTGTGTACTTTGCAACTCTTTATGTGTGTGGTAACGCCGAATTTAAAAGAACAGGTGCTTTATGTATAAAAAAACACTCACCAGTAAATTATTATGTTTTCACGACCCAGTAAATTATTATGTTCCACCCTTAAATATGATGAAAAAATATAAAAATATTTTTTTTTAAAAAAATTTAAGTTTTTTCAATTTAATTTTAGAATAGGATATTATAACAATCAATTAAAGTTACTACCAATATTACTACTATCAATCAATTTCACCGTTAGAACAATTATGCTGATTCAACGGTTATATTTATTTTCATCTTTGTATAGTTATGATTTCCTATATTTTATATTTTATATTTATTTTCATCCTTGTATAGTTATGATTTCCTATATTTAATGCTTTCACATTAAATATGGAGATCATAACCCTATAAAGATAAAAATAAATATAACCGTTGAATCAACATAATCGATCTAACGATAAAATTGATTGGTAGTAACTCTAGTTGATTATTACAATACCCTACACCTTTAATTTCCCTCATTCTAATTTATTTTTCTTTGAGTTTTTTTTTCTCCACCTTTATTATCCAAACCTAATCTAAATCTAAATCTACACTAGACTCAACCAACCCACAACTGCGCATTCAACACCAAACCGGCAGCTGCTCGTAATTTTTCAAAATTGCTATAACTAATTATTCTTACTCAGTCCCTGTATACACCCTCAACATTCAATAGGAATATGCCTTACTATTGTTTTCTCATGACTAGAACTGGAATTAAATTAATGGCGTTTCATTTTCTTTTGACGTTTCGATGTCCAATCACTACTCATTCGCATGTGTATGAATATATATATAAACGCATAAAATATCAAAACATGCTTCCAACAAGGATTTTCTATTTCAATTCCAAGAAAGGCGTGACAATGGAACAGTCATATTACTTGGTCATTAAGGGCACGTGTGAGTGGTAAAAAGCAAGCAACTAGTATTTTATCAAATCATTCTATAATACTTTTTGAGTACACCTTTTTTAGACCATATTTTTTACCATAATTTATTATAAAACATCCATAAACACAAAATCTTCCATAGAAAATATCATTACTAATTAAAGACCATGCATGGTTGATATCCCATCTATTTGGTCTCAGTAGACTTAACTACATCTACGTGCCTAGGGATACCAAAGAGAGATATAGTTAAAATGAATGTTAGAATGAATGTGAGGGTACTAATCCTCCTGTACACCAAAATCCAATAAGAGTATGGAAGTGTCATTCCAAGAGATGGCCACATGTCTTTGATTACCCACCATGCTGTTTCCATCTCCTGCTCTAACCGCAACACGCACACGCAATTGACCCACAGGGTGCTCTATGTCCCACACTCTCAACACACCCGAACCCCCAGAGTATGTTATGTAGTACCCAAGGTTCATGCACCCCAACAACCCCCTAAGCCACGAAACCCTCAACCGAAACCTGCTGAGCCGTTCCAACGTGCTGGCGCGTCGCACCGTTCCCACGCCGTTTCTCTCCACTATACCAAACGCCTCGTGGCTCACGTCTAAAGAGGTCACCACGAACCCTGTTGTGGACCCCACATCACGCAACAAAACCTCGGGGTTCCACAGGTAGAAACAAACCAGCCTCGAACTCGTGCACGCTACAACAAACTCCTGTTCCGTTACGCGGACTCTACCCACCGGTTCAACCAACTCTGTTAGCATGTGCCACCCCATAACGGTTTCCGGGTCGGTTAGTGAACCGCCAACGAACACTCGCTGTTCCGTGTGGGCGTTCCATATCTGAAAAGCCCGGCCGGGAAGGCCCGCGAACAGGCCCACCCACCAGTGGCTGCACCCGGCGAACTCCACCAACACGCCGTTGTTCACCACGTCACCAGCAATGGCCCGGCGCGTGGTTGTGGACCCGTTGATGATTGCCACGTAGACGTCGCCGTCCAGCCTGGCGAAGGTGAGAACTGAATTGGTGATGACGATGCCGGAGACGGACAGCGAGAAGGGGCCGAAGCGGTGGACGTAGATTGATCGGAAAGTGCTGACGTGGACGCGGGTGTCTAGGTCGAATAGGCGGACAGTGCCGTCGGAGAAGCCGCAGGCGAGGTAGCGGTCGGAGAGGGTGAGGCAGCGGCAGATGTGGTGATCGCCGGCGTCGGAAGGGTCGAATCGAGGGATAAAAAATGAGTTTGTTCCTGTTGTGAAGTTCCTGGCCGTCCGATGCCAGTAGATATACTCTTGGTGCCACGTGGGCCTCAAACGACAAGTGCGGCGCCAGATTTGTCTGGTGAGGTACTCCCACAGGGGATCCGAGCTCGACAACGCTCGCCAGGTAGAACAAACCTGCATGCATTTTTTGATATAATCAACCAACTAACTTAACAATATTAGTTAAAGACATATTAACTTTCCAAGCATAAAAGCTGTTTGGATATATTAAGCAAGTTCCTTGAATCATCTATCCAAAAATAGAACGCCAAAATACCTTTCAATCTTATATATATTATATATCATTTATAATCTTAGAAGCAAATACATTTTTTTGATTTTATTTTCAATTTGCTTAACCATAAGTGGACATTAATGAATTAAACTCTAGAAAGAGAGAAACATTGATGACAGCAGAAGCAGGGCTAGGTAGCTACGGAATGCAGCGTCAGGAAGCAATGGCATCGAGCAACAGAGATGCAGGAGATACTCGGGACTAGGGACTATTAGCTTCGAATGAATTACACTAGTTTCATTTATTTTTATTTATTTATATGTAGTGTACTTTTCACATATAGTTTAGATACTACAGAATCTTACACAATGATAGCTTTGGTGATGTAGTAACAGTACTAACATAGCTAACCTGTAGAATATCCATAGGAAGAACTGAATATTCGAAATAAAATAATTGACCGTGAGTAAGATCATATCTTAAAATTTTATTCCATGTCCCATTCAGAAGTCAAGTGACGATCGCGACAGATAATTTAACTTTGTAACTTGGCTAGGTATTGTATAAGAAAGTACAATCTTTACATGCATCATGGAAATTCAGATTCAGTAAGATGCGGAGAAAGATATTCTATTGATATTTCACATACACAGAGAAAGTTAAGTCAATATCAAATCGGTCAAAAGGACAAGGTTCCATTAGCCCAGCTAGACTATGAGTTATATCAACTAGCCCTATAAAAGAAAATTCAATAGAATAAATGCCCTGAAAGGTTGAGAATATAAGAGAATTTAATGAAGGAAGTTCTAACAGCAAGTGAAAAGAAGGCACATATCATGTCTGTAGGTGTGGTCCATACCACAGATATGGCTAAATAACGAAACTAGTCAATATCTTAGTTCCTATTCATGTAGGCATGTGTATGAAAATGAAAGAAAATTTAAACATGGTATCAAAAGCGTGCTTCCCCACAAACATTTCTCTTTCATTTCCAAGAAAGGTATGGCCAAGGGCCTGTCTTGTTCGAATCATCGAATCTCTAGTTCCCATCCACACACACAAAGACCAGTCCAAGAAGCCAGTGATGTATCAAAATGATGGAGAAGCCATTTTTAAATAAGATAGGATAATATAATCAGATATAAAAAAAACTACTATATACAATTTTACATATTATATATAAAGTTCAAATTTTTAATTTGCAAAAAATTTATTGAGTACTTTATTCATATTATTAATTATAAATGATATATAAGAGGCATTTGTAAACAATTTTATTCAAAAAAGACTCACTTTTGTAGAGTTGTTGACAGTTTCTAATTAAAAAAGAATATGCATGCCCCAACTCCCATGTCCCAATTATGTTGTGTGCATAAACTTATCATAACATATATAATATAATATCATACTATTAATTTATTGGGAAAGAAAGCTAAAATTGTAAAGAGTGTGAACTTCTCATATAGATAGATACAAAAGGAATGGAGTGTTGTCATGACAAGAGTTTGGACTCCATGTGCCTTTTGGCATTATACACATGCTGCTTTTTTACCCATTTATACATGCCATTATAAATTATTAAACGAACGACTAATCAGCGGTTCCTTAAAATGTTTTCAAACCCTAATTGAGAAGGTGCCAAGGATTTCTCATGCAGCTAAGATTAATACCACTAGTTAATGTAGCTTTTGAATCTCTTTTTAGCATTAACTTTAATTATTATTATTTTGGGATAAGAATGTAACCTAAAATCTAATTCTAGACTTCCATAGCTCATGAAAAACTTTAAAAATTACAATTTAAATAAATTACGCTATTAATATAATTTTCAAATAATTTATGCAATTAATACAATAAATTGTGCACAAATATAATACGCAACTCTCCTCTAGGAGAGTACGTATAATGTACGCAACTAATTGCCCACAAGAATGCAAATTCAACCAACTACAGACGATTTATTTTCATGCCATAGTCTAATTCAATCACAATATACAATATATACAAAAATGATGTGTTTTCAAGACATTCAACCAATAAAATTCATAATAATGGCTACTCTCCTTATGATAGTTTTATTTAAGAAAAGCAGCTCCTTATGAAACAAAGTAAAAAGCTACTATCTACATATTTCTAGATAGAAAGGCATGCAATGGATCTTCTAGCCTAGATAGCAGGAAAAAGCTCAGTCAAAAAGGATTCATGCCAAGAAAGGGAAACAGCAAATTCGAAGCCAATACAACCCTTTTCATTGGATATGAAAAGGAGGTCCCAAAACTAGACATTTTTAAAGAGGAAGAAAGAACAACATTGACAAGATGAAAAATACACCCCTTTTTTGAAAGGGACACACATTTAGTTTGGAAAATGACCCACGTAAAAGCAGCTTCCTTCACGTAACAGTTCCTTATAGGATGCTTTGAAAGCATCTACAACTAAAAAACCTAAATCAGCACTCATCTCGATCTCCCAGTCTATTGAGTTGAATGTATGACTCTAAAGTTCAAAGAACCCATAAAAAGGATATACCAAATAAACAAAAGAACCACATATACATAAGTTAAATTAAATTCATAATAATGTCCACTTTCAATAAAATAAAATAAAATAAAAAAATAAAATAAAAGAATCAGCATCTGCAGGTTGCAATGCTTCATGTTTGACTTGACCAATATTTTGTCCATTTTCGGAACTGAAAAAAACTATCAGTTACCCATGCTGGAGATTCAACAAATCACTAAAATTTTCATTCTTAACCAAACTATGAATCCTCCCTTGAAAGCATCAGATTAAGTATGGCAAACACAACCCATATAATCAATTGTCAAAAATAAAATAAAATTTACACTCTTTGTCACAACATAAGCAAACAAATAAAAAAAATAAAAAGATAAGGTAGGGGGTTACCTGAAACATAATGGCAAGTGCAGAAGCTGCAGCAAGACGACCATCATAGTTAGCAGCATCAATGGCAACACGAGGTGCCAATGTTTCAAGAACAAACTCAGGCCAAACCTCATTCATAGCACGTCGACGAGAAGAAGATGGTCCTTCAAATTCAGCGGTCCTCCTCGTACTAGGGCCAGGGATATCAGGAGCAACATTTGAAGTGTCATGAGGGGTTGAAGATGAAGATGGTGATAATGATGATGATGATGACGATGAAGAAGAAGAAGAAGTAGAAGACGAGGAAGACATGAGAGAGAGTGAAGTGAGGAGTGAGGGACGGTATAAAAGTAGGAAGGAGGACCAGAAAGGAACAAGAACAAAAAGGTTGGAGATAAGGACACAAAGTGAGGGACCCAAAAGGGAGGTGTCTGGGGAATTCTTGGTTATATGTGTAATAACAATAAACTGACTTTAAAATGTCTAAGACAGGGTTTTTCTTTCTTGGTTTATACTTTGTAAATGAAAATATAATTTCTTGTTTTTTTTTTTAACATTTATTATAAATTTGATTTTCTGGTGACCTTTCTGCTGTGCAAGGACGGCTGTGGGTTGTTTTTTTTTTTCAATCTAACAAGCTATAGGAACTGATGAGAAATGCTGGTTTTCTCTGAAATGCTAGTGAGTGAGTTGGTCTTCAGGTGTTTTCTAAGATTCAAAGGCTACTTGTGTAACGTTTGTGGTCCTCCTCAAACTCCCCCTCTTCAGTTTTCTTGTGTTAATGTTCTTGTTTGTCTTCCAGTGGATTTAGATAATAAATTTAATTAGTTTCACTTTCCTACCAATGAAATTTATTGCGAATGTTAATATGTTATTCAAATAGCTTATTTGAAAATATATTCAAACACCTCCTATTTGACTACCCTCTATTTTTTATAAGGAAAAAAAAGTTTCTTGATATTAGTTTAGACAACTTTTTCTAATGTTCATCGAAACGACGTCGTTTTGAGTTTGAAAAATTAAAAAAATTAGAATGATAAAAACTATTATAACGCTGAAATAAATTAAAATTACAAAAACACCATGATTTCCGTCCCAAAACGACGTTGTTTCGATGAACATTAGATAAAGTTATCTAAAGTAACTTTAGAAAAAACAAACTCTTTTTATAAACAATAAATTTGTACAAGGTTAAAGTTTGAAATAGCAGAAAATTGAAAAAGAAAAAAAAAGGACTATAGAGGAATTTTTTTATATATATTCTTATTTATAAATAAGAATTTTGATAAAATTGAAAAAAAAAAACAAAATGATAAAAAAATCAGATAAGTGATTTTAAAGTAAACCTACGTTAATTTTATCCTTTATTTAATATTTTAAATTTTTTATACTTAAAAAGTTGCTAAAAAATTAAGTTAATCTAATCACAAATCAAGCCATCATTCAAATTATAATACATCTCATTCTTAATAAGAGATATAATTTATAAGATGTAAGTCGAGTTAACGATAAGATTCTTAATGTAACTTTTATATTATATATATATATATATATATATATATATATAATTTTCCTCAATTCTAATTTATGAATTATGTGAATCATTAAATGCAAGTAGAGTAGAGTTATTGAATAAGATTTAAAGTGTAATTTACACAAATCTCAATTTTAATTTATGAGTTACGTGAACCACTAGATGCAATTGAAATTAACTACTAAGATTTAGAATATAACGTACTTTAATAAAAATAATTTTGCCCATATATATTTGATATAATGAATATTCAGAATAGTTTAAGGCAAGATTATATGTTTGACAATAAAGAAAAAAATAGAAGTTGAAAGTTAAAAAAAATGTAATTGAAAAATTATTTATAATTTTGTCCCTTCAAATTTTTGTGTGGCTCCACCGTTGAAGTCACATATACACATTGAACTAGATCTTACTCACATGAAGGTGAAACGGTGGAATTCATTCCATATCGGTATAGATTTATGAAGAAAAAAATTGTAATTTTTTTATTTGAGAATTTTTTTTCCATAAACCATAGACTGATATTTTTTTAAATCTACTTTTTAATATGGTTATATTATATAGATAGGGAAAAGTTATATTTACAAATTTTTTTGTTTATAAACTACACTAAGTAAGACCGGTCATACTTCAATCAAAAGTGTATGATAGGTCATACTTAGTGTTATTTGTAAAAAAAAATTGTAAACAGATCATTCCTCATATAGATATAATATAAAAATTATAAATGGATATTCACTTACAAGTTTAAATTTTTAGGGTTAAATGATTATTTACAACTTCATAACCTTTGGGATTATATTCGAGAGAAGTGAGGCCTAATGGAGTCAGCGTATAGCACATATTTAGCGTTGCTTTCTACATTGGACCAATCCTCATTCCAAATTTCCAATTAACTTTCGCACTGTGATCATTCAAGGAAAGCACAACATTAGTGATTGTTGCCTTTTCTTTTAATCTTTTCCAAGTAGAGAAAATCTTGGACGGTCATAAGGCCTAAAATTAAAGTAAGCGTGAATTTACTGTCCCTCATTTTTGTGCCACTATTATGACCAATACATATGATTTAAAATGATTATTATCCATCCACAAACGACTCTCTAGAGTATAGAATCTAGAGAAAAAGATAAAACTTTCTAATGATGGCTTCAATTTGTTATATTACAAATTAATTTTTCAGTTTCAGGTGTTGATGTTCGAAGCACATGCAGCGAAAAGATCAATAAATTTGCAACTCTATGGGCCAATGACCTTTATCTTTTTCCTAAATTGAATGCTTGAATTGGGAAAATCATCACTTGTGCTCCATTCCCTTTGAGTTTTATTGAGTGAAGTACACGGGCTTTGATTAAACATAGGTGTCCCAGTTTATTGTTATGCTCCTAGTTTTTCTGTACCTTGCTTTACTCATTGATCAGAAGGTTTCAATTGAATGTTACTACAACCTTTAGAAAGAAAAAAGTTTTGGACCTTTTTACTTATTCAAATCCGTTATTCGACCTGGACTCTTCACTTTTACATCATTAGAAAATATTAGTGAAGTCAAGATCCAAATCCTATCAACTTTACCTTTTCTTCTTTGAAGCTTTTAAATAGAATAATCTCTTTATCCTTTACTCTTTGTCCCCGTCTATCTGAAATTCTCCATTTATGGGCGGAATTTTTTCTTTCTAGTACCAATTTAGGATTCCATTAGTCATTGCCGTAAATTTAATTTGTTTAAGGAAAAAAAAAAAAAAAAACTATTCTACGAATCATTTTAGCAAACTAAGAAAGAAAAAAAGGCAAAGACTTGTGAGGCAGCAATTAAATCCAAATATATTTGCGTTTGATATATGATAATTCGTAAGTAGTCCTTCAAAGAATTTTAAAAAAAAATAAAAAAAAATCCTCATGCTCTTTCTCACGGTGAAAGATTTTTGGTTTCTCTAAGATGTGATGTGAAATTTAATAAATAGAGTGTAAAATTATAATCGTTGATTAAAAAGTTAAGAGAGTATATTTCAATTAATTCATAATTCGTTATGTATGTGTATATATATATATATACATATATTATTGCAATCTTAGTCTTTAACTTTTTATTAATAATTATTCTTCTTGTGTTTTACTTTCCAAAATACAACTTCATATTTTATTATACATGTATACGTATTTTATTATAAAATCAGCAGTTAAGTTTTTTAATCAATGAGTACAATATTTTGCATTTTAATTTTTAAAATACAAATTTAAAAGTTTAATAAATTATATTACAGTTATATTTATGTAAGTGTTTCTTGGGAATTATTACTCCAACCTTTTGCTTCCATCGTACTTTTAACCAAAAAAGAGAGCTTAGATATAATTAATTATGTTGAAATCGTGTCTTTTTTCTTGCCGATAAAATTCTTTTATTTTCTTTTGGAAATCAAAATGGCCGTGCCTAACAGTAAATATTAGAATCAACTGATAGAGGTTGTTTATCAAAAAAAGAATCAACTGATAGAGGGTGTTTTAATTTAATCAGGTTTCTTGAATTCGAATTCTCAATATGCAATTATATTAAATTTTCAATAAGAAGAGAAATAAAATAAAAAAGTTACACCATAGTTTATTTTATATCAAGATCAACTCGCTAATGCGACAAAGATTCTAAGTGACACATACCTTGGCAGTGGTGCTGCCAATTGTGGTGGTGACAACCTCAGCTGAAACTGAAGAGGTTCTTGGACACAAACCTTGAAAGTGAAGACGCCGATTCCCATAATGGTGTACCAGTACCACCGTGGTTAATTGTGAGTAGTGACTCTAGCAAAGCCCACATAGTCAAATGATTCGTGTCCACGAACAGAAGCACCAAGTCTTCCGAGGTTGAACCAAAAATATTCAATGGCGTAATTGACAAATGGTTGCTAATATTTCGCAGAACCAAATATTCTATATGATCACTTTGAAAAGAAACAAATATGATCATTTTCGGAGTCTTGACCAACTAAAAAATGTGCATCCCGTGAGCAGCTTCTACATGATATCCTTGTTGGAGGCAGCTCTTCATAAAAAATAAACTTGCATTACAACTTAATAGCCACACCGATAGACAAAAATAGTATTTAACTATTAAAGACTTGAGTAAAGTATTTCTTTTATTTAATCATTAAATTTTTTATTATAAATATATAAATAAATATTTTCAATTTATAAAATTGTGATTTTTTAAATATATGAAAACATACTTTAAATTTAGTTTTTTTTTCTGATAAAACATTCTTATTAGAGAAACTTCTTAAATTACTACTTTGAAAGTTAATAAAGATATGTGAAAATAAATCATATTTTAAAGGAAATTATGTTTTTTATGTTGCATAAAACACTTTTGTCTCATGCAATATGAATAACATACTCTTTTATTTTAAATTAAGGTCACAATACCAAGCTCACGAGTAATAGTTTCGTCAAGATGTGAAGTCTAAATTGGCCAATCCCATTTTAATAACCTGATACACTATTCTTTGGTTAAGTGTGCATTTATATTGGATCATTTTAAAGAAATAGTTTTTTAAAAAAAGTAAAGAAAATAATTATTTTTCATAATTAATTAGTCACGAAACATGAATTTAGTCTTTACTTTAATATGATCTAACTAATGATGAATTATTACATTTAATATTTACAACTAAGCTATTTAGATAGAGGGAAAAAAAATAAAGAAAAGATACCATTTTAATTTATGTTGTCATGTTATGTTAGTCTTTTATGATAAACTTGTATATATTTTTTGTGATTTTAAGAAAATTAT